AATCTTGATTGTGATTAATAAGGGCAGGGGCGGAAATATTTATATAGAAGGCATCGGGAAATGATTATTGCAACACGAATATTGCACTATTCACCACTGTGTCGTGTGCCAGTCCTGAACTGTATTTCATCCGCTTCTTACATAAATTATGTAGTGTAAATCTTATTACATATGGCCCGTTGCATCAGTGAATAGTGAGAGTGAGGTATATTTACTGTAATGAAATCATTTCAGAAAACCATGAAGTCGTTCTATAACAATACGTCATATCTGATGACGTCACTACGTAAGCTAGATCAACATGACCCATTTGCTGCGGTCATCCAAATGCTAAAACAACACAAAAAACAAATTCGGGAGCGCTGATTATAGCGACATTTCAACGATTGACTCGAATTTTAACTGGTTACCTGCCAAACAGTGGTGTATCTGCGTAAATTGTCGCCCATTGCGAAGTTTAAAAATGCGCTTCCTTGATCATTGATTGAAAATGGGGATATTTGTACGTTATTATTCAAGTAAAAATACGAGTTAAAATTTTTTTCAAATAACAACCATTTTATTGAAACATTTTACAATTAAAACTTTCCGCCCGTGTCAGAACGGCGCCCAAGGCACAAGCCATAGCTGCCACACCCGAGATATGCCACTGCTGCCACACGCGCCATCTGATGCTATAAACTCTGTTGCATAATCAGGCGCGGGACAACCTCTTTAATACATTTCATGTCGTCGTTTATTTGATACCATCGTATTAAAAAATAAACTACTGACTGACTACTACTATAATTACTGATGTTTTATAGCCTAATTCTGCGTTTCTGGCTGTATAAGAGACACTCGTTCATACGTTACTACTTTACAAAAACCTTCATAAAAATTTAGGAGGCAGAACTCTCGCACACGTAGGAAGAAACTGTAATTAACATTAACTCATGCAGTTAGGTATATTCAGATAGTTCACTAACTCTTCTATGTACGTTAATCGGATATGAGTAATCTCAAAGCTGAAAGAGTAATTTATTCAAATGCTCAGTCCGATATATCCGTTTTTACATACTGTCCTACAAAATAGACGACCAGGACTTATCGGAATGCGAACAAAGTAAAGGTTTAACTCAAAAACACGGAACGCCCATTCTAGCTAGTCATGGGAAATTTTAACGAGCCACGCTTTAAAAAGGTAATGTTGCAAGGACGCGAGATTCAGATTTTACTGCGCGAATGGTCTGGTGGAACTGCGCAATGGCGCACTTTAGAGGGAACTTTGATGGGCGGGGGCTTTGTAACAAAGATTCATGTCTACCTTTACAAACTATACTACAAAATATATGACTTGAAGGAAATTTCAGTTACTCGTAGCAAATGAATGTCCGCGCCGAACACTTCAAACGGACCAGAATTCTGCAGAACGTTGACATTGTGACTAAAAAATTGCGAATTGACACGTTGACAACAGAATTTAATTGTTCCGGGAAAAGTGACTCCAGTAACGCGGTATAGTAAAAATGAGGTCGTATGCATTAACTACTTTCAAATTTAACAAACGATGCTATTTGGATTCCAAATTATTAACTTGGATCGTAAAATGTTCAAAGGCTAGATAAGGTGGAGTTTACTTTTAAAACTTCTTTTGTGTTTCACTTCAAATAGGGCCACAGGACGCTGACCCCTGTCGGTTGTAATCGATTTCCTTGAAAAGCCAAGGGCTATTCAAATGTGGTATACGTGAAAATACCTGAAAAAAATATCTCTAGTTCGACCTTACTGCTTCCGAAACAGTCTTTATGGCCAAAGGCGTAGGATTTAGTATGTATGTATGTATGTATGTTTATTCGTCTCGTAAAAGCAATATAAAAGAGTAAGTACTTATAAATACTGAAGACGGGATGTATGCACAAGACCATATTGGCCTAAAACACAGATGTGTGGCATACACCCCTTTGATTTATATAAATTATAATAGGGTAAATCAAATATGTCCAATATGGTCCTTTATACAGGCAGTTGTGCGAGGAGGGTGGGTGGATGCGGTAACAGGGATATGGGTGGAGTGTACAAAACTGTTTGTACAAAGGAGTTCGTTAGACAAAACAACATCTATAAATAGAGACACAACACAACATGAAACGCAATGCATATGAATATAGTAATAAAAAAATTAAAAAAAAAAAAAAAAAATTAAGAATTTGGATGAATGTACAATACCATTGAGTGATGATACCACATACTATAAAACGCGGGAATGGTCAAGTTTAAAGGGTGTGTACATATATGGTATGCACCACTCAAGGGCGACAGTGTTATAAGTGGTCTATGGCTGTTCTGGCCAAAATGTGACCCTACAGGTTTTGGCAAAATATGATAAAAAAGGTATGTATCAAATGACTCACTATTATAAGGTTTTTTTTGAAATTCTGGATTCAGCCAAAAACAATGAAGTTTCAAAAAAAAAAAATAAAAAAAATTAATAAAAAGCATTTCCACAAAACCTATTATGGTTGCATTTCAGCCAGAAGATTAGAAAGGTATAAAGGTACAGTGGGATAGGGAATGATAAGTTATAAAGAGAAGCCATTTTACCATGTCATGGATTTTCCAATGTAAATTAAAATAATAAAATTATATGGTATCCTGGGATGAGCAGAAGAAAAAGTGTGATTCGGAGATAGGTAGCAACAATGGAAATAAATTGAACAGCATGCTACTCAAACAAAAACCATTGTCCCTACTATTTGAGCATTCTATCTATAACCTAAATTGCTGTGCTTTTGTTGTTGTCTAATTACGCATGATAATGAAATTAGAATGGTGTGCTAGTTATTAATTCAGTCCATTGTTCTATATTGAATCCGGGTGAAGTATCCTGTGGAGTTATTGAAATTGTCAGCTGGTCTATGGTGACTGAAGAGGAGGACAGTTTCCTGATAGTTCATTCAATCCAAATAATCAACAGCTCTCCCTTTCAGTGTTGAACTGACCTTAAAAAAATAATCTCCAAACAGTAACATGTTCAAAGCAGAGAAAATTGCTAATATGATGATAATATATATTGTTTAAGTTTGGAACGAAATTCTGAGTTCGATTTTGAATTTTTGATGTCATCGGGTAGGGAATTCCAAGCTTTTGGTCCACATACTGCGATTGATTCTTGTGAAATACTTTTACTGACAAATGGAATAAAAAAATTATCTTTATTTCTGCTGTTTGAATTTGGGTTTGCTTGGAACAGGCTGGACGGAAGCTCTCCAATGTGACAAGAGAACATCATATTACATAGTTCGAATTTAGCTAAATCCACAACTCGTAGTAGCCTATGCTCTTTAAATAAGTCATCAATTTTTTCGCGATTACCTCTATGAAAAACTCTTCTAATAAAGCGATTGCAAACACTTTGAATTTTTTTGAGAATGGACGATTGGCGATGAACATAAGCTGAGGCACAATAACGAATATGGCTTTCTATCAGAGAGTGGTATAGAGATATTAAACAAGATGTATTTAAGTAGTTGGCTATTTTCGTAATGGCACTAAGAGACGACCTTGTTTTCGATAGAACCATATTGGTGTGTTGTTTCCAAGACAATTTATCATCGATCATTACACCCAGAAAGCGAGTCTGATTAACTCTTTCTATATTTATTCCATTTAATTCCAAATTTTGTTGCAGAGTTGGACACTTTTGCTTCGGCGTGCTAAATATCATATATTTAGTTTTATCGACATTAATAGTGAGTTTGTTCGCAGACAACCAAGCTTGAATATTTTCTAAGTCGGTATTTGCCTTGGTCAAAAGTTCAGGCAAGTTTTTGCCTCGAAGATATGGTGTTGAGTCATCAGCAAAAAGTATGATATCAGAGTGAAGAAGAGAATTCGGAAAGTCGTTAATAATGATTGAAAAACATAATGGAGCCAAAATAGAACCTTGTAAAGTACCTACAGTCAAATTACAGTATGTGCTAGATGCTACATCATTGTATATAACTACTTGTTTCCTTCCTGATAAGTAGCTTTTAAACCAATTATAACTCTGACCTGTATGGTGCCAATATGGTGCAATTTGGCTAGTAATATGTCATGGTCAATACTATCAAATGCCTTGGAAAGGTCCAAGAACATACTGAGAGAATACTCATTCTTATCAAATCCTTCTAGAATTTTACTGACTGAGTATAAAGTATAGGATTTACATATTCATCCCGGGAGAGAAGGAAAGCCGATAAGACGGCTCAACCATATGGCAAACCACGGCCTCTCGTCCGGTTACCATTCCATGTAAGGTATTAGTTAGATATTCGAGCCAGCGGTTACGGGAACCACCCTACGGCGGTTAGGAGTCCAGCAATCCTATCGCACATAACTATCCCGGCATGGGATTAGAGGGGTGCGGTGGCGAGCGTATCCCAAACGCTTAGCACGATGAGCCACATCGCAGCGCCTGATCGTTGATTACCCTGCGAATCATTGTGTACGATTGCTTTTGCCTCCGTACTGATGCAAGATTGGCAAGCGTACACAGGGTTGCCCACCCCTGTACTAGAGTACAATAGGATTATGACATTTATTCAAAGGTCGTGGAAAGCTCGTCATATAACGAACCACCCCCTCATTCATTTACATGACGGGTATTGTGAACAATCCTTTACCTATTTGCTACAGATGCACGGACGTGGTGTAACAGCGGTTTCTCCAAAATGTTGTGTCCAACTTGTACCACGTGTCCCACTTGGTACTACACGTGGTACACGACATTTTGCAGACACCCCTGTAACAGGGAATTACATGATTCACCCGCCATCAATGAGAGCTGCGAATACGAGCACCGTAATTATTATAGGTGCGACGCTAAGCATGTTCCAAACGCATAGCACGATGCGCGAGTCCTCAAAAAGCCAATTATAACGATCAACATAAAAATCGCACTGCGTTGACGGCTACTGTCTCGTTACTATGCACAAATCTAACAAACCATCCACAAGAAATAACTTACACAATGAAAATAATTATACAAGCTCTATATTTAGGCCGATACATTGTTCTATTCTTAGGATATAAAAATATAAAGAACGGAAATTGTATTGCAGCTGTTGAATTGTATCAAATGACGAATTAGTGAGATTGCACGCTGCAAATTAAACACACTGCATAATAGGAAGGCATAGTTGTTGTAAAATAGTACTAACTGGTTCAGGGCAGTGATGAGCTGGAAAAATCGTAACAGCCGGAACGCACCAAATTCGCAAAAATGTAATATAACACGACACGGACGTTTACAGAACTGCAATGAACTTATATGAAATATGTTCGTGTAAAATTACAAGAGTATTCATAGCAATTCAATACAAATCTTATTATTGAAAAGGTATAGAATGAATATTCATGGGGTTAAAGGTCGGGGAAACATCTAATACACGTTACTGCTGTACTAATTATTGATATGACGTAAAAAGACTTAATATGATGTAACAAACCATAAATTAATAACTAAGTTTACCAGAGAAACTAGACTTTATACCATAATTTTATTTCAACAACAGGAACGCAAATGCAGTAAAATGTCCAACAACCGTAACGCGGTTCCGGTGCGTTTCGGCTGCAGCTCACCACTGGTTCAGGGTAACTCAAACCGACCTTTGAGCTCATGAAGTCGGGATGGGTACAAGTGTTTCTTGGTGTCTGCAGAAGGGGAACACGAATCATTAAAATTTTAGAAACCCAGAACTTAAATCAGGATTTAATACATAAGGACTTGTACACAAAATTGATTTTCAAGACTTGCTTTTCTTTCGGATATCCCGATTATTTTCACAGTACCATATTTATGTATGCTATCGTTTCGATCTTATTGGCTGAAAAAAAAAAAAAATCGACATTCACTACTTTTGCGCAATAAAATTTAAACACACAAAAAATCAGACTACTGATAGTTGCTAGTCTGGATAGTCCAAATATTACTGATAAATTATGTTTGTTTTCCTTTCAAATTACTGTTTTTGCATGGATTAACTGACTAATTTTTTTTGAGCTGAAGCGCAAGTTCTGACCGACTTTTGGGCAGAATATTTGAAACAAATTCTACACAGAATAAAGGATTATTAAATTCCGCCAGCATGTTCCTTCACAAGTTCTTTCACTTCATCAGCGAGTTTGTCAGCGTTTTCCTGGAATAATGAGATGTAAGTTCAGTCATGATTGTGTATGTATACATTACACTGCCAATTTTTTATTGAGACAAGATTCCTAGATTTTTTGTGGTTCAAATTATTTCAACAGCTTTGTGAAGAAAAGAGAAATTATTGCGGATTTGAAAGAAAACGAAACACAAGAAACTTCTCCAATAAGTTAAAAATATCATCGAATCCTTATGTAACCATTAAAAAGTGTGCATTAAAGTAATAATAATGCTCCATGTATTGAGGCAATTACTACAGACATAATCGCCCTTTTTGCAGATTACGGAGTCAAAATAAACTTATACTTAATGGTAGAATGCCTGTCCTAAAGGTCGTTTTAGCAAAAAAATTTACTATTCGAGATTGGCGCCTTGATGAAGGTATTCATAATGGGGCAACAAAATAGAGACAGGTTAAGATTTATATACTTTTTCTGGGGGAGAGGAAAGGCAATAAGACGGCTTAATCATATGACGAACCACGGCCTCTCGTCAGATTAACAGTCAGTGTCCAGTATGGGATTAGTTAGTTATTTGTTTAAGGTGCATGGACTTGATAACGACGGTCGACGATGGACAATAACCAGTTTACCTGTGTGTCACTCTCAGCATATACTCTGACAACATCCTCAGTGCCAGAAGGTCTGACAAATGATCTTCCATTGGGATATTTTGATACGACATCGTCTATCAAAGCTTGTAGACCTTCAGGGTTGGTTAATTTTCGTTCTGCATCAGTGGTTTTTACAACTGATCGATCTTTCACCTATGAAAAATTACAGAGAATAAAAGAGTTATTCAAAGTTTAGAATTGGAGTATTGGGAACTATCCAGGAGTACTTTGTATTTATCACAGGAGGAGGGAAAGCCCGATCAGACAGATTAATCGTATGGCAAACCACAGTCTTATGTCTAGCCACCATTCATGTACGGTATGAAAATAGTTAACTAGGTATTCTGGACTGAAGCCGTGTATGGATGGTGGAGGAAGCTGTAGCTGTCCAACGCTTTAAACCAGGGGTGGGCAACATACGGCCCGCGACGAGATTTAGACCGGCCCGCTGACTGTACATCAGTATATTATGATACTACATTATTACATTACTTTTAGTACATTATGATAAATTCATTATGTGTTTTTCGGTCTCTATTTTGTTGTAGTTTAAACTTTGAACGCGATTTGTAATTTTCTTTTTTGTATTAGCGAATAAATATGTGATTAAGATATTGGATACTATTCATGTTATAATCCAGCCCGCCGAAAACTTCATTTTCCCACATCTGGCCCGCCGACTAGAGAAGTTGACTTACTCGAGGTTTCGTTTGATTTTCTGATTCTGTAATGAGTTTTATTTATTTTTATCGATTACTTTATCGTCTATTATGCTGGTTATGGAGTCGAAATAAACTTATACTTATATTGCATGTACAATACAATTCATAACTCAAGTACAGCGGTAGCTCACTGATCTGTAGCATTTTAAATTCATTTTCTCTTCATAAATTGGACTCATCTTGTGATCAACAAACAAGTTACAATATGTGAGCTACCTCGCAATGGCAAGCAAAGATTTCAGCAATTCTCTTGCACATGATTATCATGAAATTTGAGCCTGTGAGTAAAGCCCAAGCAAGGTACTTTGAGGTGCACCCTGTTCCTTTAATTTGAAAATTCCAAATTGACAAGAAAAAATAAACTTACTTTAACTTTAAGTTGTCTGTTTGGCAGCTCTGTATAAATCTGACTCCACTCTTTAATCGACCAATCTCTGTTGCATAGAATTGCTTCAACTACTAACATGTCACTCATTGCATCACCAACAGTCTGGAAAAGAAAGCATAATTGACAACAGTGCAAGGGACTATAACGATCAGTAGAGGTTGCGCGAGACTAACTCCCAATCCTTTCTCTATGCCTTTGTGCTGGTGGATCCGTATGCGTATAATGCAAGGATGCTGCAGCACGAATAAAAATACCATATTATGCAATTCAAGTCCTGCTGCACACTAACACAAATATATTTCTGTAACGTTTCGTCTGACCAAAATCAGACTTCCTCAGACAAACAGTTTACAACAATGCATACTTATTGCATATTAATTTTTTTCAAATACAAATAAGCAAATACATTCGAGTTAAAAAATAAACTAAGTTCACTCAGGGACAATCGTTAAATAAATGTTTTTTGTTTTTATCCATTATGGGGCTACGTACATAATAGTCAACCCCTCCGAGTCTCCGCAACACCAAAAGTTTGAGAATTCCCAAGCTAAGTCAGCATACTATTATAATTTGGTGAAATACTCATCAAAATGTAATGTACCCTGAAAACATACTTCATTATTAAACTTAAATGTTAGGGGCAAAAATCCCTGACCAACCTGATTTATCAAATCAATAAAATGAGTCAATTTCTTTGAGGCTTTCAACTGACATTCAGTCGATTCTTTGTTCGTGCTTGCTTGTCGGATCTTGTCCTCTGCTTCTGGTTTCAAAATTACCTGAAACACATGGTTTGAATATTACACAATTGTGAAATTAAAGACAGGGTCGGATCGATATGGATTTTTTCATATTCAATATTTGGAATTACTGATTCAGGAAATTTTCGATATAATCAGTTTGACCAATTAATGACCATCTCTCTTTATAATTTCTAAAAAAAATCTCAGTATGATTAGGAAAAGACAAAACCAATCTTTGTTTATCTTAACTATTTTGCACTTACAATTTCAAACTCATTGGGAAATATAGTGATCAGTATAAGACTCTAAACCCGGGGTCAAAAGTCAAGTTGAGTCAACCACTGGTTTGTGGTCCATTACCTTCTCATACATGGGAAAGACTTTAGGAATTTTTTTCCCGCTAAGATAGACATTTCCAATTTGAAAAATTAAAACGAAAATTACCACTCAGTAGCAGAAAGAGCATTAATCCATTGCTACTACAGCCTATGTGAAATAAAGGTTGTATTAAAGCAGGGGTCAAAATTAAAAATTGCAAGTCTTGGCGAGCGACACATACTCTCGAATAGAATATAGATTTATTTCTTCATCGCATTGCATCTCAAAAAATTCTATTTGAAAATTTTCTGCGCCATTGAACCATTTGCACTTAGCAATAACTTTTTTTCGCTTTATAATTGAATCATAGGCTCATCAAACGAGTAATTGTGTATCATATACTGGTTAGGTTATAATATAATTTAATCTACACATGTCAACCAAAAAAAGAAGTTTTGTCGCTAAAACTCAGTGAAGCGCGGGCCGTAGGTTGCACACCCCTGTATTAAAAGTTGCACACCCTTGGGCTAGTTCATAAGTAAACGTTCTCACCGTTCCATGCCCATTTGCTTCAAAATAAACTCCGATATCAAAGTCTTTTGCCTTGTGATGCAAATGCTTCACTCCAGTCTTAGTACAGGCAACAGGAATCTTTAACTTATCGGTCAAGTAATTCGTAGAACTTCCATTGGCATAAGCTGTTTGCACAACTCCAACTTCAAGTGAAATGTTTGCCTGAAATGAATGTATTCAAGTTTTATACTTCGTGAATATCGTCACAGTAAAACCGAAGTAGTCCATCTCATCTTTTGGTCTGGGTTACAACGCTGTACATTTTTAAGTTTTGATTTTAGGAACTGCCTTGCGTCCATTTTTAAGTCTAGTTATTAAAACCAAGCTATTATTACAAGATGTGATTTCCTCAAAACTTTAAAGTTAGCAAAAACTAATTTGGTCGTACAGCAACAATATGCACAATGAAGATTGTGGATGACCCAAATTTGTGCTTCTGCGTCAACTCCTAACTTCAGGGAGTTTGGCTCTAATATCAATAAAAACTTCCTAAACTCTCAACTTGAACACCCTGCTCTCCATTCATCAGCATTTTCATGAAATCCAATCCCAGCCACTTGAGTGGCTTTATTAATGATGAAGGTTGGAGTTGAAATATTAAGCTTCACGTTCTGCTAATTATTGGAAACATTCATGTAACTACAGTATGTGGATGACTACTTGATATACTACAGCCACTAAAAGTGTGCGTGCGCATCTCTGTCCAACTCATTTCAAGCAGAGCCATTCTGGAGAAAAATGGGCCCACCAGAAATATGTGTACTAATATGTAGGTAACTAATTTTGTTCGCCTACTTTACATCAAATTGTGTAAAGAGACGGAAACCTATGGGCAGGGGGTATATTCACTTTGCTAACGCAGCCAGTCCCCGAACTCGTAATAGAACTAAAATAAAAAAAATTGGCCTAACCCTAACCGGGTACACACACTACGGGAGTACCGAAAAATGTGACAACGAGAAATTTAACATTTCACCATCCAGAAAACAGTCTTTATGACGACCATAGTCTATCAAAGTCACCATCCTCATTTGCCTATAGTGCTCTTAACCAATGATCTTTTATTTTACCAACCTCTTGCAGTAGCTCTTTGAACAAGGAAGCAATCAGAGCAGCAATCTTATCGCCGTCTAACATACCAAACTTTCCTTCATCTGTTGCACTGTAATATATCAATCGATCAGCATCGCCGTCAAAAGACGCAAACCTTTCATTCGGCTTGATTGTGATTCCTGTAGGAGTGAACAAAATAAAATTACATGGACAAAGTAGAATAGTAGAAAAAGAGATAATATTTCCGGAATGATCTGGATCTTTCTTGTTTTGCATCACCTGCTTAATTTATTATTTTTGTTATCATAAAATATGTTATTACTGTTATATGTTGATAGGTATTTGTCTGTTTGTTTGTCTGTTAGACACTTTCGTATTTTACGCAATATTTCACGAAAGCGAGGTTGAATCTGCTCCAAATTTTGCATGTGCATTCATCATATCTCAGACCAGAAGCCTGTTGATTTTGAATTATGTTGTATAATTAGCGAGTTTTCAATTAATTAGTGATGGGACACATGGTGTCGCTATTGAGTCAGACTGAAGGAATCGTACATGCGGAAGATTGATGAGTCGGCGGTCTCCAATCGCTATCTCATTATGATTGTTCTCACATATCTACAATCCGAATAGGGCACAAGATAAGAAGTCACTGTGTAAAAAGAGCAAGTTGTACACTCAGGCAAAAGCCAGTATGATCAAAAAGTTTCTGGTACAGACAGATAGGATTGCAAGGCCATGAGAAAGAGTTACCACACAAATAGATAAATAAATAAATAGATAAATACTATTATTGAAGGAACCGAAGATGTTCAGCATTGCCTATCTTATTAGCGGTTACCAAACTGTTTGTTCGTGCGGCGCCAAACTATCAAGAAAAAAACTCACGCCGCATTTACTCTTATTTTTCAGAGCGCACTTAGCAAAATACCAATGCCATTGGGAACTGCTGGACTAAATTTATTGATGCATGCCAAAATATGTCATGAATAATGAAAGGTAGGTAAGTGGGCATATCAAACATTGAATCAAGGGTGATAAAACATTAGGTAAGGGTCAGGTAGAGTTCACTCACAGATATCTACAAAAATTTTGGTGTAATATAGTTTCTCTGAATAATGCGTTAGAATTCCATGTAACATGTTTTTCCCCGCCAGAAGACTGATGTCACCCAAACAGTGTCTTTAGTATTTTAGAAGTTTCATAGATGGTTCATAATATGTAAGCAAATAAGCATGACACTGGATAATGAAGCAATACAAAATTTACCTGAAGGGCCAGTCTGTTGTATTTTAACAAAATCAGCTCCACAGTTTTCATTCAACTTGCCAATGGTCCCATCATTTACAATGTTAATTTTCAGTTTTTCTAAAATGTGCTTGGAAAACTCTTTCAACTTTGGCGCACCAACGCCATTAGCACAGTCAACAGTGAGGTCCCCGCTACACGATTTCTGAAATTGAAAGTACATTTGTTGAAAGTTTTCAAACCTTCTTCAATAGCTCTTGGTTTAATAAAGAGGTCAAAAGGGTCAACCAATGACTAGGATAGCAAACAACCAAACCATTCATGTATAGATGTAAGGCTTTAAAAAATAGAAAGGTTTTGGCGAAAGGCGCAAAACCCAACGAAAAAACTTGGATGGCCACTTAAAATAGTCTTGTATACTGGAATTAATAATATCTGGAATTCAATTCTGATTTTAATCAATTCATTTTACAGGAAAATCCTAACATAATATTAATATTACAAGAAATGAAATATGAAAGAAAACAGTTTAAATGCAACGAAATCATTGTAGTTCGGGATATGATTATTAAGAAGTTTACTTGGAATAAATATGAGAGAAGAAGAAGTACCGTATTTGCTTGTTTTGTAGGCCAATATTTTTTTCAACCAACTCACTAACCGGGCCCTTATTCAAACCGGCCTTTATTCGAGCATGGGCGCTTGTTATTTTCGATCGTTACAATAATTAATATATTGTTATTTCCAGTTCTCAAATATGATTTAAACGCAGATAACGAAAATTTTGACTTTTTCTACGCACCGCAGGTACAAAAAGAAAAGTTTTGCGATGCCCTATCAATATTGAAACGACGCACTCGGGCGTCTCGACGCCCAGTTTGAGAACCATGGTGTTACGTAATCAATGCTATCTGTTATGTACTTGGACGCCTAATTCAACAGCGTTGTGACAAAAGCGCTTCCAAATTCCTATTGTTCTCTACCACTGAAAATTAGCTTTTACATCGGGCGGGTATTCAAGCACCGGACCTTGTTTTATTTTTATGTTCTGTTCACACGGGCGGCTATTCGAACGGGCCCTTAATCAAGATCGGGCGGTAAAACGAGCTTATACGGAATATACAAGAGTTGAGAGAATTCCCACTTCCTCGCGAAACGAATAAGCCACTTTTAGTGGCTGCAGCATAGTTACATGGGAGCTCCAGAAGTGTGTGTACCAATGAGGTAACAAGTTTTGTTCGCCTACTTTACATCAAGTTGTGTTAAGGACTGAAACCTATGGGGGTATGGTATATTCATTCGGCTAACACAGACAGTCCCCAAACTTGTAATAGAACCAAAATATAGAAAATCGGAATAAAATTATGGCCTAACCCTAATCTGGTACACATGCTTCGGGAGTACCGTTGCATGAACTTTTCCAATAATTAGCAGTGCATGAAGCCTAAAACTTCAATCAATATAAAAACAATATTTACCTCTCCCAGAGCAAATGAAAACGCATCAGATAATTTCTTATAATAACCTTCTTCTGTTGCTGTTCCATATTTTTCATCGGTATTTTTACAAACTACCAAATAATGAAGTTGAGGAGTAGTCAGGAGTCCGAAGTCTTCATATTTTGCACCGAATGCAGTTACTCCATCCTTTGCTGCATTACTGAGAGTTATGCTACTTGGCCTGTAAGTGGGGGAATCAGATTTAAACTTGGGAGTGGTAATAACTGGATATAACTAACTAGGTATTTCCATTTTTGTCCAACATCCTCATTATAAGTTATAGATAGGGCTTCCATCATCCCAAGAATAATAATAAGGACGATGATGAAAATGAGTTGCTTAAATGCTTAATAAGATTATATCAATCTTAGCAATTTAATTTTGAGTTCAAACATCATTAATGTGTAAACTTGTGGCAATATTACTTTTCTTTAAATTCCAATAGAGAATGTTATCTTAATCAATTCGATACACAAAAAACTTTTTTTAGTGATACACAAATTTTTTGTGATTAAAAATTAATAAAAAACAAATCGAAGTGGAGCCTCAACAAATGAATGTTACTATAGCAATATTACTTACTGGTCACTCGTCAGAATAATGATATACAAAATAAAATGATAAATTCTGTAATTCCACACTGTATTGATTTTTTTTTATAAGAGATTCAAATCGTAGAAACTACCTGGTATCTCTTCCAGCTACAACTGATGCTGAAACTTCCAAATTGATTTTATATTTTTCTACAATGTTTTTCAAAACATTGACTAAATCATCATTACTAGCATTGGCAAGTTCTGTTGCGATGGACTCCCATGATTCTTCTAACATTTCACCCATTGGATCGACTAGCTTCACTCCATTATCTTCCTAAAAAGCAAAAGGAGATGAGATTTTAAAGCAGTTTTTTGATTGTAGCTACTGAATAACATTGCGCATCAAAAGGTCGAATATTCTGGGCTCAAACTTGTGCCCACTTCCTTTTTTAGGACACCATAAATAGAGTGGAAAGTATAATTTATTACTATTGGTAGAATATTATATAATCAGAACCTTGAATTTGTCCAATACAATAAACTGCTATTAATTGTATTTCGTTTTTTTTAAAATAACATAAGAAAATCATATTCCACATGATACCAGTCGTGTTGTTCAAGCATCATTGTGACACAGGTAACTCACAGATCCAGTGAAAAAAAAAAAAGCGAATTGAATGACAGGCAACTCCATAGCATGTAACACAAGTTCTATTTTATAGGCCTCATTCTGAGCACTGAACAAGTCTCTGTACAAGGAGTCACTCTTAGACAAGGGGTTACTATCTTTCAGTTTGACATTGTGTGCCCAATTTGCTACACAATGGTGATTGTCAAAGCATTGGAACTAGAAATTCAATATAAATAGGTGTAATGTTTCCATTTTCTCACAAAATTTTTTTCAAGAAAATATTTAAAACAAACCTCTGGGTTATGAGAAGCAGTTGTCATTAGTCCAATTGTTGCTGATTTGAACTTTGACCTCAAGACAGCAAGAAGACCCATTCTGAAGAATACATGGTCCAATATATTTGCTTTGGCACGAAATCCAGCTGTTCCATACGTGATCTGCGAGGTTCCTGGATTTCCATGGACCTCAGATAACTTACGAATATTATCGTAAACGTCAGCCATTATACTACAGTGGACTATAGATAGTAAAATGTAGAAAAAATTAAATGAAATAACATCGCAGAGTGTTGTAATGCGCTGACTCATAATAACAATTTGAATATTTTTGTTGGTGAGCATAAAAATATCAAGTTATTCTGAGATAAAATATTCTCAGTCGCTGATTTGGCTGCCGAAAAGATCAAAGTATGAAAATATTTATTCATGCAAGATGAATGTCCAAAAATAATTTGCAACTATGGAAAAATGAAAAAGAAGAACCTACCAATACCGTCAAAGTTCTGAATAATGCAATATCCAAATTTTTATGTGGTCTATGCAACAGCATTTACAAGTGAAATATAATAATGTTTGAAAACTATTGTCCTAATAAACCAATAAAATAGAGAAAAATAGATGAAACAAGAAATCTTCCAGTTATCAATCTATAGCAGTCCTTAACATAATATACAAACTTTTATCAGGGTTTTCTCAATTTGGTTTTACCATACTATGCAAGATACCTGACAAGTTCCTATCAGTTTTACACAATGTACAGCATGTTGTTTCGCCACATATGAATGTACATGCTTGGTTGCAAAGTATAGTTCACTTCATATTGTGTAAGCGTATCTAACTACCAGTAGCTGATTTAGTCAACCATTGGAGAGCAGTATACAAATGAATTTTTCATCACCATAGCATTACACTGAATTAGCAAACGAGTATTTGCTCATAATTTCACCCATAAGCTGAAGTTCTGAAATCCACTTATGGCAATACTATTAGCCGAACTGAATTTATCGCTTTTGCAACAATCACTCAGACTGAGGAGTTGATAACACTTCAGCAAGTTGAGGACCAATCGAATTCGATTCTTTCAGTCTGTCTCGAATTAATTCAGCAATGGCACGCTGTGTCCTTCTTTCTAATTTATCAAGTTTTCCTTTTATGTCTCGTTTGAGATCCCAGTCAATTTTTCGAGGAGCGAGGTTCAATAAATCCACTTCGTCTTTGACGGTTAAAGTCGGTGTTGCTTTATCAAGCTGCTCAGAAACCTCTGTTTCAACATGGACTGGTTTTACTTTGCCTTGCTCATTAGATACTAGATTTTCGTCGAGAGGAATATAGTTCCTTAATTTCAGTTCAGCGTTCGTCTCTTCTTTTGGATGCTTTGCATCGCTTGAAACTGCGTCTTTATCAGCAGCTCTTTTTCTCATTGCCATCAATTTTTCTCTCCTTTTACGAGCTTGCTCTTCTAATGAACCAACGTCAGCCATTTTGTAAGTCGTATCCTGTTACCGAAGCTGTATAGGGCAGATTTAAATAATACTATAGTATTGAGTACTGGGTCTACAAAAAATTCAATACAATTATTATCAAATCAAAATCTAACATCAAGTGACAGCTAGAAATTTCAAAAATAAGAGCAGTATATTGAATATTCAAATAAGCAGAGTTATGCAAATTTTTTGAAAGTTTTTAAAATGGAAAGCAAACAAATGGTAAATTTTGGATAGACAATCATGTAGCCCATTGAACAGATCGTGAGTAAACAGTACATGTCATGTATAATAAAGAGATGACTATTATATTAAACAAGATTTCTGATTCGATCAATCTTTTTGCTAATCGCAATTTTGCCATGTATTGTACACACTTTTATATCGAGGTTGCAAACTCTTATCATGGAGAGCGTGACTACAGGCTCAGAAAACAAAAGATAGTTTATATCAACCAATTCTTGATTACTTGTGATAATTAGAAAGGGTGTGGTATGATGCAAACCAATGAGAAAATTCATGAAAATATACATATCACTGCCACCAATACCTCAAATTGGATTTCATTATCTCATTCTTATATAAGTGTTACTTGAGTTGAGGGCGCTCCAGAATTGTGTGTACCAATCTGGAGGTAACTAATTTAGTTCGCCCCACACACTACGGGAGTACAGAGTTGAGTATACCATATAAAAATTAGTGCTAAAGCAGCCATCATTAGAAAGTTGGATATAGAACAAAAGCAAGATTGAATAGAAAATAGCTCCCAATAATAATATTTTACAAACAAAAACAGGTCTTGTTTACTCTATAACCAGGAGGAGCTACCACTTGTGGAGAGTCAAGTTGCACTAAAGACTAGTATTCAAATTGGCCAGTCAGAGACTGAAACACTCTTTCAAAACTCAGAAGTTTTTCTTATGCCAATTTTACATATCATCAATTCCTTAATTAGCAGACTAGTAGTCACATAGGCCACTTAATAAAGTATGAAATACGTTTTGCTAAATAATTGAGCATCAATGAATGTTATTTATGTTTCCATTTTGACTCCATCTGATTTTGCTTTGGCTTGCATTTCATTAGAAAATGCATATTCTTTTCCACCTTTTCTTTGGGCCCATATTTGGATGTAAGCTTCAGAGAGAGTAATCATTTGTGGCAAAATGTCGCTGACATGAAGATCTTGCATCTCATACCATTGGTTGGATCCTTGGTGAAGAATATAAACACGATATGTGCCTTTCCCAATGTTCGGGTCGCCATCATGCACAATATTTGCAACCAGATCATAACATGTGTCTTTAATATCTGCATCAGCAGCGACAAATTCAGCAAGATCGATATTTTTGACCGGGAAATTAACAATTGTAGGATTTTTCTCGATGAAAAATAAATTTTTCGTGAATCGTTTGATGTAGAAAATAAGAAATGGAGGGAGACGTGTCAGCTCAAACTTTTTCATGGTGAAATCTCGTTTTCCTTTGTATTCTTTCTCAGTGAGGCCGTTAAATTTTGCAAGAAGGTTAAATAACGGAACTTGTGGGATAATATTTTGTTCCTGTTCGTCCTTGTAGAGAGGGGCAGCAAGTAGGTCTAATGTAAGATATAAAAACGGTGATTTTTGCATTGTTTCTTGGTATTCTGGCAGATCTAACAGTTTCACTTTTTCTTCTTCTGGTAGTTCAGGGTTAGGAACTTTTCTTGAATAAATTTTCATCTCTCCTTGAAATGTTTTAGTAATGATGCTGGAATTCTTCTTTTTGGTTCCATTTAGGGCAACATGTAAAGAATTTAAAAACCAAGCAAGTAATTCAAGAGGGTCACCTTGTACAGTGATTTGAAAACGTTTACGAGAGCAGAGCACAATGCTCTGCAGCATCTCGTGTGGTGAGACGTGGGCTTTGAAATTACGAGGATTCCATAATTTACGAATCAATTCTCCAAATCTTTGAGTTAAAAGAATCATGATGTCACCAGGTGGCCGTTTAATATGAGAGTAATTCTCTTCTCTCAAAAAATAATCCCTCAATGGAGGGATGTTTGACAACGCTTGTAAAACAACGTTACAATAATCATTCGCTTTGATGTTATTGAGCCCGACTATTCCTGGCAAGTACGTTGTGCTATCGTAAGCTCTACTAAGTTTGGAACTTGTGCTTAATTCAGCGATATGATTCTTTTTAAAAGTAGGGTTAAGAACATAAGTAATATCTTCAAGTGATGAATCTAAAATTTCATAGTTATCAGGGAGGCAGTAAAATTTCAGAGTCCGCAGATTCAAAAATACATGATGATTTATCTCAACACTGTGAGTGTAGGCATGAGATTTTTTGCCCCTTCCTTGAAAATATTTTCCGCAAACGAGACAAGCATAAACGTTCAAATGAGAGAGAGACACTGAGCACAATTTTTCGAAATCAAAATCTAAAACACTGCGTTTAATTGTATCTAAATACGGGCAGCTTCGACTTCTATCAATCTTTGGTTCGTCATCATACCTGTATTCTTCTTCAGACGAATATTCTTCAACCAAAGCTAAGATTTTTTGTTCTGGAGCTTCTTGTTTAATTTCACTGTCTGAAATTTTTCGTTTTTTTGCAGGTTCGGAGTTCTCTTCCGAATCCACTTCGTTTTTAATACTTTTTATATCCATGATTAGACCTTCAAAATATACAGATTGTAGAAAAATACAACGCTCAACGAACAATTTTCCCCACAAAATGCAGCATGAACGAAAATTGAACGTCGGTGTCACGTGTCAAAAAAAACTACGCTTGGCTGATTCCGATAAGAAATAAGTTCAAATCTTACGAAAATGATATATTTTAAAAGAATTCAACAACACAACTTTATTATCAAATATTTATAATTCTAAACAACAAAACTTGATGCTAAAAAAACACTCAAATCTTTCGAACTTGAGCACGAAACCACATTAATATTAAAAGATGTTTTCTGGTTTACTCGGGAATTCCCCTTGCAGTAAATTTTTTAAAATGCACTCCTAATTTTTGAATATTTTTGGATGAAAAAGATGCAAAGGCAAAGTTATTTTTCTAATATTTGTATCAAAAGATAGTAGTTCTGACTAAAATGAACATTGGAAGATTGATGTTGAAACGCAGCTACCCGCAGATAAAGTCGTTCCGCAGTATTTTGATACCAGGATACCTACGGTATTGGGATGTTGCAGTATTACCGTACTCAATAATAATTATGCTAGATGTGTGTGAAGTATCAGCCACATAGAATTTCCGCAATTGGGTTGAATAGATATTTTCAATGAGTAATAAGAATTATATTTAAATGTAGAATGAATTAAATGCTCAGGAACATGAAATATGTCTAAATGTGTCGCGAAAATTGTATTAACAAATGCAATACGGTACCTTAAGCAATAGGCCCTATGTCTGTATGTGATTTTTATAAAACGCTTGTGATATTGTTGTATGTGTTGAACTCATATCTTACTTAGGGGATATTGACTTTTTCTAATTCTGATTCCTATATATATATATATATCCTATATATCAGTATATAGACTACTTTTACAATGTTTGAATTGGAAATATGTGATTGGGACACCTTATTGGCTTGCTTCTCGCTGGAATAAATACCAGAATACAGTAAATAGGAAAATCCTATCCTAATCTAATCTTCAATTTATATTATTTTTATCATGTGTTTTTCTAATAATCTTTTCTATGTATGTACTGGTAATCAAACCAAAAGCTGTGTGCTATGTGGTTGAGCCATGTTACAGTGTTATCATCTTCACTCTTCTAACTGTCTAAATGTAAATGAAAATCTTTTCTATCATATATGTCTTTGTTTTTTATGGCCAGTGATTCACTTTGTTATCTTGAGTACTACACTTTCAAATCCCATGATGCTGTGCATATTGCTAGTGGCAGGCCATGGTGCCAGGTTGGAAGAAGACATTAAAAATGATACAACTGGAAAATACAGCAATTTGATTGGTATTCCTAAAGCTTTGTTACCGGGAGTGGACGGGAAACTAATTATGGATTACTGGTGGAAGGTGGTCAATGTACGACAGATATTTAGTGAGGTTTATTTGGTCACAAATGCGGATAAATACAAGCATTTTGAAAGATGGGCAACAGCAAATGATTTCCCTGTTGAAAATATTGTTAATGACGGTTCTACGACACCAGATACAAAGCTCGGAGCTGTTGGTGATTTTGAATTGGTTTTGAGGAATAAAAACGTTGATGATGATGTCATGGTTGTCGCTGGCGATATGCTTTTTGAAGACCAGAATTTCGATATTTCACAAGTAGTGAGATATTTCCACCACAAAGCTGGCGACCTTGCAATTTATTATGAAATGGAACAAAATGAAGCTACAACTTCTCGGGGAATTGTTGAAGTTGATGTAACAACGAATAAAATTTTGCATTTTCATGAAAAACCAGAGCCTGGAGTCACTAATTCACGTTTGGCAAGTGTTGTCTTTTACTGTCTCAGAAAATCTACTCTGGCTACGGTTTCGTCATACCTGCAAGAATACCCAGGTAATGGCACTCGTACATTTGGCAAGTATATGTCATGGCTTATCAATGATAAAAAATATGATGTTTATGGCATGAAATTGCCGACTCGATTTCAATTGATTGGGCAAGTGTCCCTGACTGATTATCAAGCAAGACTTGATTATTTCAGCGACTTAAAACGACAGCATGCTCGTAAGAGACTTATAACAAGTCGTGCTTATGCTAGGATCGGTTTAATGGGAAATCCGAGCGACGGTTTTTATGGAAAAACAATTTCCCTTTCAATATCAAACTTCTGGGCTGATGTTACTATTATGGAAAGCGAGAAACTGGTATTGACCCCTCACCCCTTAAATGACCCTACGACCTTTGGAAGTTTGCAGGATTTACATGGCATCAGCAGGAAAGAGGGATATCTTGGAGGTTTAAGGCTTCTTCAAGCGACATGTAAAAAATTCTATGAGTACTGCAATGACAAAGGGATTGCATTGTATAAAAAGAATTTCACTTTGAGTTACGACACCAACATTCCAAGACAAGTTGGACTGGCAGGGAGTAGTGCAATTGTCACAGCAACTTTAAAATGTTTAATGCAATTCTATAATCTCAGTGAAACAGACCTGCCTAAACCGGTTCGAGCTAGTTTCATCCTGAATGTGGAAACTGACGAGTTATTCATCAATGCTGGATTACAAGATCGTGTTGTACAAGTCTACGAAGGTTTGATGTATATGGATTTCAGCAAAGATCTTTTAGAAGGTCGTGGATATGGTAATTACGAGCGTTTACCAGCTAACACCCTTCCTCACATATGGGTTGCGTATTTATCTGATCCGAGTGATTCTGGAAAGATCCATAGCAATGTACGGCAACGTTATGATGCCGGCGATACAGAAGTTTGTGAAGCGATGCAGAAATTTGCGGAATACACAGAACAAGCAAAATCTGCAATTTTAGGATCAGATTGGAGAAAAGTAGCTGAACTAATGAGTGCAAATTTCGATTTACGACAACAAATCTACACAGACAGTTGCCTCGGTGAAGCAAATTTAAAGATGATACAACTCGGACGAGAGTACGGCTCTTGCACTAAGTTTCCAGGAAGCGGGGGTGCAGTGATAGGAATGTGTTTTGATTTGGACAAATTATCGGATGTTAAACAAGCAATGCAGTCACAAGGATTTGTTGTCTGTGAAGTTGTTCCTAATCTCGGTAATCAATCGGAATGAATGCTGCTGTCAAATGGCAGCCCAATATCCCCTTCTACGGAGAAGGCTATTGAAATGGTGATTTAGACCAAATATAACAATCCCCAGGCTCCACCTGACTATATCTATAATCAATGCTCTCTGTGTGTATTCTCCGTAATCAAGTAGTGTCAAAATCAGTAAGCTTTTTTTATTAGATGTATACTAAATATAACTCAATCCAAACATCTGCTTTTTTGTACAAAACTATCTTTTAATTAATTCATTAATTTTGGTTTCATGAGTTAACCACGATATATCATGGAAGTATTGATTCGAAAAACTTAAAATTGAATTATCTGTCAATATTTTTGTCTTTGTTTTTTGATTGTGAATATTTTTCATAGAGTATTTGCTTTTCAAAATAGTTTTTATTGTTGTTACCAATGTTGCAGAAGCGTTTTTCACAATATCACACACTTACATCTACATGTAATATCCCCGTGATTTAGATATCATAAAATTAATATGCGGTGGCCTAGTGGCTAAAACGACATAACTGTGTTTGCATTGCAGGTTATACATCTTCGGTTCAAATCCCATGCCTTCCCAAGGTGTAATAAATTGGATAGACAATGCTGAATCAGAAATATTTTGGTCATTCCAAAAATATTTGCTCCATACTTTAGATATCAGTGGAAGCTTTGTGCATTGCCTTGTTCAGAGCAAAAATTCATGGATGGGTATCATAGATGATTGTAGCCATTTTTTTTTTCAAAGATGGAAAGTTAAGTGCCATCTGTAATCAGCATAATTTTCTAATTCATACCCACTTGTAGCATACAGTATTTCTGTAACTGTATTTCAATACCCACATACAAGTGTCTCTTTGTATATTATATTTGACTTTTATAATTTGGTAATCAATATTTGAGCTGTTGCTTACATGAAAGGATATAAGCCATGAACCTGCAATCTTTGTTTTAATATAAATGTATATTCAACAAATGCCAATAACCAAAGTATACAATTAGTCCCATAACACACCAACAAAATTAACTTTATTAATAATTATAATTCCACTCAAGTTTCTTACCATCTCTGTGATGATAGCATAGTTTATTACTATAAATGTATACTCAACAAAATAATCACAATAACTAAACTATATAGTAAGTCTTATACCATATCAATAGAATTAACTTTTATACTGAAGACCACATGTTCCTATGTCCTTCACAACACAGCTGGTTGTCTAGCATGGTCATCTGTAAATGTTGTGAAAAACCAAGCACCTAAATATTCTTTATACTTCATTACTGCCTTCACCATTCTTTGCACATAAATTACTGTACATTTCCACCCCAACACAGAATCACCTGACACATATTTTGGATCTTTTCTATTTTGAGTATTATTAATAAATAATATTATTATGTCATAATATTACTACTGATATTGTATTACTGCTATGTATCAATAATAGTTAAATAATTGTGATTGTGACCAATCAATTTTTGTGCAATTTTTATACTTTTTAATTGTTATTGTTGTAATTATAGCCTTCATATCAGTAAATATTGTTGCCATATTTTTAAACGACCAATTTTTTTTATGTTCTGTTTTTCAATATAGTACATTTAGTGTAATCATTTTGGAGAAATATATGATTTTGACTAATTCAATTGCATAATTGTTTATGTGTTTGTAACATGCTAGATTGGTTTAGTATTCTACTCTGTATTACCCAATGGTAGCCAAATATGATATAATTTGAAAAAATGTTTGAAAAACTTTTTTGAACAAATTAAAGATTGCAGAGAAGTGTAGGCCTACATATTAATTTTTTTTTTAATTCTTGCTGTTCCTGGCATCGTTTTTCATTTCTTTAGAACCCCATGGAACCCATCTTCTTCATTAAAGTTATTCTGTATAGCCCGAATATAGCAAAATATGACGATTTCATAAATTTTCTGACAAAAAAACTCTTTTTAACAAAATACTATAGAGATGCAGAAAAGTTTAAACTTTATTTTCAATGTTTACAGCTTTTAGTTGGGAAGTCATTCGAAACCATTATTATCTTCCCTGTTATCACTTAGACTAGTGGTTCAAGTCTTTATCGTATCCTGCGTGATGCATGTCTTTTGTGTTCATATATTTGAGCATTGCTCTCTTTCCTTACAGTCAAGACTTTTATTTACAATTAATATCATTCCTGAAATCAAGTTAAACTATTTTTTCTTGTATTTGAATTTTCTATTCATTCCTGGACATCTCCCTGCCCGTTTGATTATTGTGAATTAGGTAATTTAGGAAGACTAAACACAAAGTGTACATATGGATCGTTTTGAAAAGGTTTTGTTGTTTGGATGATTTTCAAATTTTCCACCATTTTCTCTGATGGGACCCGATATTTTACCCAAATTTAACTTTATTTCTTTAAATTACGATGAGCAATATTTTATTTTGTTATGCTTAATTACCATAGTATAGCTTGTCCACTGATTTTTCCAGAAAACTTTGGGCTTTCAGGTATTACTGTAATCGTACCGATGTACGACATTTGTGTCCATATATTAGGATAGCATTCACATACCATATTTGTAGCTGAGACCAATGTGCCACACCGCCGAGCACTGATCTTTTATAATCATAATTCAGATGAATACATGACATTTCTATTTAATATTATCACTTTTTAATTTTTTTTTCCTAGTTTACTATAATTATAAAATCCCAATGAATTTACTAATCAGAATGAATTTAAAATGAATTTTCGTTGAAACTTTCCAATGAAATGGAATCAAAACTTCAACTCAAGAACTGGGGTCTTCCTCAGTGTGTTCTGGATCAATACAATAAGAATGGATTGGAATCGATGTTTCAATGGCAGGCTGAGTGCTTGTCTATAAATGGAGTGTTAGGTTTGTAGTTCAAGTTTTTATACTTATCCTCGGATAGAGAAGATGATAAAATGGCTTAATCAAAAGGCGAACCTTAACCCCTCATCCAATGCCGGAATAGTATGTACTTAGTTTCTGGGGGAAGTAACCTATTAACAGTTATCCGAACCATCTTTCTAAAGGTAGGAGTCCGTCGATACGGCCACACAGGGGCGTAGCACGGATTTTTCAAAGGGGGGAGGGATTCAGAAAGTTCTAATTGCTAAGTTAGACCAGCTAGCGGTACCGGTCTGAGGTCGGAAAATGTGGATTTTCAAGCTTCTTGTGCGTTTAAAAAGAGTTTCATGCAATGAAAAATTGCTACAGAGAAATGCTTTTTTTTCACATTTCCAAAGAGCGAAGATTCTGACTCGCAATGGGGTGCGTCTAATTAGTTTCTATCAAAGGACAACTTTTTTATATGTCATTCATTTATAAGATCATGTGCTTGAAGCCTTTCAAACTGACTGTTTGAATTTGGAGTAAGGAATTGGGGTGACTGGTTAATAATGAGGTAATGATAAGGGTTCAAAGTTCAAACCAGACATCTCAATAGAGTAAAAATGGCAATCACTTAAATCTATTATTATGGAAAACTTGGCTTTTATTTATCCTAATATCGCATTGTTTAAAAAACTTGCCTGCAAAATTTTCAATGGAAATAATTTTTTAAATTATGCATGTAAAATTCTTTTCAGATGGACGAAATTTGGTCTATGCTGCTCCTACCAGTGCTGGCAAAACACTTGTTGTTGAAATTTTACTTTTGAAGCGGATTCTGGAGACTGGGAAGAAAGCTTTGTTTATTTTACCTTTTGTATCTGTTGCCAGGTTTGTTTACTTGAATCTACAATTTAATTCATTTTAACAGCTTCTAGATGTTTTATAAATTGAATATAAATATATAGGAGTCAAATCTGGGCTAGGTATTGGTTTGGAAACTTCATAGTCTCAACCGAGCTCAAACTCATTATATCCAATATTCTATGATGTGATTCACGTAGCTACAAAGGTAGTAAATGTCACAAAACTGAATATCTTGAAAAAACAATAGGTTCCTTGCATTTTTTCGCAAGTTCTTAAATTATTGTGTAGTTTTGCGAGCTTGACGAGTCACCTAAAAAATGTGGTAGGTCAAACCGAAGTTCTTAAAAAACTTATGTTCACTTTACTCGTAGGTTCATAGGTTTGAAGTCTACACAGTAAAGTAATAACACAAGCATTCGCTTGATTAACAGACTTTAAATGTTTGGTGAATTGGATGAATTTATATATAAATTCGAATATTTGCTACATTGCTTTGATACATTGCTTGAGGCCTGTATTGTTTTATGTAAAATCAAACTCTTTCAATATTCTATAATTGAGTGTTAAGAGTGACAATAAGAGTTTCAGTCACTGCAAGTATCCTTTACATTTCATTTTTGTTATGAATTCAGTTCCTAATATATCCTAACCAGGTTTGTTTTTTTAAATAAAAATAACATAATCTCTTTCCACGAAATATCAAGTATATTTATGAGCTTTCGTTAGATCATAGTCTAACTTCTTCAGATAAAACAAGATATGGCTGCAAATTATAAAGATCAGTAATTAGTTAAAAATTTTAAGATAAAAATCCCAGAAATACATTTTACATTGGTTGGTTAGGTCTATCTCTCTTGTGCCGGTTTAGAAATTGATACTAGGGGTTTCCAGGTTTGTCCATTTATATGTGTTCCAATGTTTGCATTTGAACCTTTCGTTTGCTTTGTTGTTGTCTGTGTTTGTTTTAAAGTCTTTTTATTTGCGTTTCAGTATCCTAGAGATTGGTACTGCACAAGTTTTCTCCGTGTTTTTTTAATCAGTAATTGTTTAAGTATTTTTACTTTATTTGATATATCTGTGAGGGCTCAAACAATATATGAAATGGATATCCATAAATTCTCTTTGCTCTTTTAATAAACTTTAGGAACTTACGGAAACCCGATATTATTAGGTATTTTTGTTCTGTGCCTTGCCCACCAATGTCATAGAAGCAATCATCAATCACTTGCTTGATGTTTTTTTTTTTTTATATTTTACAGAGAAAAACTGTTTCACATGCGAACTCTTTTTGAAGAAACAGGAATTCGCGTAGATGGATACATGGGTGGACATGCTCCTACAAACGGTTTCTCATCAGTAGATGTCGCTGTTTGTACAATCGAAAAAGCAAACGGTTTGATCAATAGGTTGATTGAAGAAAAGAATATTGATCAGATTGGTATGTCGAACTAGGGATTTCCATATCTTTACAATAGGATCTGGATTTTTTATGGAAATATTTGCTTTCATTTTTGAATCATCACACACCATAATTTAAATCTGTAATGTTACACCTAAACAGATTTTCTTCAAGTTCTAACACCCAATGGCAAATTATATACTAAAGTTTGACAGTTGTTATTTGATAACAATAATATTTTACTTCTACATTTAAAAAAAATTGAAAGTCATGATCTGGGAAAAATTTGAACAGTGAAACAAATATTGTTTTTATCGTTTTATTGTTTATTGTTTTTTCACAACACTTTACCCAAAATATTCAGCAATAACAAAATGATTTTACTTTTTGAATTTAAACCAACTGTACCCACATATTACCAATATTACTTTGTAGGTATGCTTGTGATTGATGAGTTACATATGGTAGGAGATGAAGGCAGAGGATATATATTGGAACTTCTGCTAACTAAGATAAGGTATGAGCGACTGTCACATTTGATTTTACATATATTTGCTCATCCGTTAGAGTTTATTCAGAAGAAACTCATTGGAGGTGGAGTGAAGTGTCTGTGGCTAAAATGATTTCAAATATATGTCGGACCACTGTGAGAAATAGATTGATGCCATAATGGTTTGGGGAGGAGATCAGTGGTAGTTAATTCCATATAGTACATTTTTCGTGATTCTATATAACACATTGCTCGCATAAATTTTTTTTATGAGTGTTAAACTCATTCAGATATTAATTTCATGTCCTCACTAGTCTTTATATTGTGCTCTCCATTAGAAACATGATCGCCATTTTCCTGTGAATTACCTTGCATGAAATGGAATGTGTCCAATTCCCATGATTAGGATTATGTGCAAAAAGCATTTTCTCACTCCATATCATTACATGGTGATTCAGTTAGCAGTCATTCATGTTAGACTGAGTCTACTCCATTGGTTCTCAAACTTTTTGAGCCTTCCCCCCTTTTTGGAATTTGTCAAGTCTCGTGCCCACCTCAAAAATAACTAGCCAACAATAAGCTACAAATAACAGATAATGAGGCGAAAGTAGTAAGTAGATGGAATCGCAATCTCTAAGCAATAAAGAAATGTAAATATCCAAAAAAATCCGGACAAGATCAAATCTAACAAATATTTTTATTTTTAATTGGCTTCACGCCCCTCAAAAAATTGTCTACGCCCCCCTTGTGGGACGTGCCCCACCGTCTTGAGAACCACTTCTCTACTCACTCTTTCTCACTCATGCATATTGGTAAGTTATCGTGCTATTTTATATGTTTCCCTTTACTCATAGATTCATGAGTAAGAAGTCTCTCACACAGTCAAGTAACAACACAAACATTCAAATAGTTGGGATGAGCGCTACATTACCAAATCTTAGTCTTCTTGCTGATTGGCTGGATGCTGCTCTCTATGTTACAGATTTCAGGTAAGGCATTAAGGTTAAATTCCAAAAAATGATATAATATTTTAAATTCATTTTTAAATAAATTCAACTTACCAGAAACAAGTACTTCGTGCTTACTTGACAAGTAATCCTATCTCATGATTTTTGCAATATTGGCAGGGATATTTTATTTATAATTTTTAGAAGTTTAATAATTGAATAATTTCGGACTGTACTTTGTTCTTACCTGAAAATTAATTATATTTTGATCTTTTATAAATCTAATCTCCAAATTATTTTATAGGCCAGTACCTTTGCAAAGATGTTTGAAGATTGGTTCCGCAATATATGATAATAAATTAAATAAAATAAGGGATTTTGTTCCAGCTTTCAATTGCAAGGTATTCTTCACTATATTTTGTAATAAACTGATAATATGACTGTCTGAAATAGATAAACTTATTGTTAGTTCTAAATACAGCATCAGAAGCAACTTTTGTTAGGAAACTTACAATCATTATCTTTTCAGAATGATGATGACAACTTGGCAGCATTATGTTATGAAACACTGAATGAAGGAAACTCTGTTCTTGTCTTCTGTCCGACTAAAAACTGGTGCGAAAAATTAGCAAATAATGTTGCTCATCAGTTTTATGATCTCAACAGGTACTTGATTTCTTTCCAGCTTTTTACAGATGATACACATACTATACAGCTCTCCCAGTTTAGTATTAATAATATACAGGGTGTCAAAAAAATTACATACATAATAAATTACATACATAAAAATACATAATAGTCCTTATTGTGCTTGTAGTTCTCATTTATCATGCCATAAAATTCATTTAAACTTACAATTGTTACTACAAAATCAGGCTAAATTTGTGAGCTTTTTTTCACACCCTCACTTTAAACAATGGTCCATACAAGCAGCCACTGGCACGTGAGAAGTTACTATATTTAGGAGGATCGGAATCTATCCGTTTTGGCTTGGCCTGCCTGATGTATGGCAATCTGTGTTATACAAAGGGGTTTGAATCTGAAATATTTAGCGTGCACCAAAATTATTATATCCAACACTCTAACCATGCCAAGTATGGGCTGCTCCAGTAGCACTGACTTGATAGTGAGCCAATGGCCACATAAAAAACTTCATACAAGCAATTGACACAAGATAATCTGGTAAGCAGACATACACAGGCAACCAAGTGGCCATCGTTCCTCTGACTCGAGGCTCATCAGTTTTATGATTTGAACATATATTCAGCTTGTTCTTTGCTTGATTTTACATGACCGCCAAGTTTTTCCATAGTCTTTTGTCCATTATATGGTTAGGCTGTCTAGGAGCATTCCTCTCACGCAGGATAAATATAAAAATTCTATCCCAACTTGTAAAACACTTTGGTTTGCCATACGTATAACAAGCATTTAATTTCTATACACAGTTCCCATCAGAAAGACAGCTCTCTCCCATTCGTGAAACTCGATCTTGAGACATTGAAAGAAATATTCGAGCAGTTATCCCAGTCACCAGTGGGTGTCGATGCAATATTGAACAGAACTCTGCCATTGGGAGTTGCATATCATCATGCAGGTAATGTGATATAAGGGATTGCCGAAATAATAATATTTAATTGATCGTAATACATTCTGAGCTAATATTTTTGAATAAAAAATATATATCTTAATGATAGCGTAATGTTTAGCAGTACAACAGATAATATGGGTGTATCAGGCATATTCAAAGATTTCAGTTTGGGTAATGCACTAATGCCTGAAAGTTGAAACGAGAATATCGGTCAGAGACCGAAGACTTATCGATCGAAAGTTAGGGGATCCCCCAAAACAGCGCTCTTACTCCATAGTGACACCTTGTGTTCAGTTACTAATTAATTAATAACTCGCTAATTATACGACATAATTCATCCAAAATCAATAGGCTTCTGGTCCGACATATGATGAATGCACATGCAAAATTTGGAGCAGATTCAATCTCGCTTTCGTGAGATATCGCGTGCATCTAACAGACAGACAGACAGACAAATATCTATCAACATACTTACCGATTAAAATCGATAAGTACTAAACAATGATTTCATTTTTCTACAGTTTTCAGTATTCTAATATTTTTTTTTTCAGATTCATGTACTTGTTTGTGCAAATGTAAGATGATAAAAATAGTTTTGTTAGGAACCAGTTTAAGAATAGTTTAATTCCAACAAAGTTTGAATTCCACTTTTGTTACTGAAATAATTTTTGCTTTTAGGGCTAACCACAGAGGAGAGAGATATAGTTGAAGCGGGATTTCGTATCGGAGCGATCCGTGTTCTCATTGCCACTTCTACTTTGTCATCAGGTAAAGAATTTGTTTGTTTAAAAGATTCAGTCATTATATGAGCCCTGACCACTTTTACTGAAGTTGTCAAAAATTATATATTGAGTTATACAAGACATTTAATTAACTGGATTCAAAACAACATGTTGATCATTAGGGTCGCCATATGTATCTACCCACTAAATAAATTTGAAGTTTTTAGTTCGACATTTCCAAAACCAAATGGATAACTGTTCAGGACGTACATGATTTGTTGAATTGATATTTTTGAGACTTTAAATCGCGTTCCATTCAAACCACTGCTCATATCTCTTTCAAATTTTCAACTTTTAAAGATAGAAAAGCGTACCAGTAGGTAACTGAGTTGAGAAATCACCTCGCTGTGTGTTTCTTTCAGATCATCCGGGTTTCCCACATAATATATTTCACCAAGCTAGTTTTTGTAGTATTGTAATTATTGTACTCCATGCCTACATATATGTGCAAATTGTTTTCGTGTTATATTTAAATCTTTTGAACGCCTGTACTTCGCATCGTACACTAGAACATATAAATCTTTTTAATATTATTTCCCCAGGTGTTAATCTTCCTGCAAGAAGAGTTATCATTCGAACTCCAACTTTCAATAGAAAAACACTCGATGTTCGAACTTATCTGCAGATGACAGGAAGAGCTGGAAGGAAAGGTGTTGATGATCAAGGTTGGTCTATTTCTCTATTACTATGTATAATCTGTATTCAGGGTGTCCACAAAGTCTCTTTACAATTTTAATTTTGTTATGAAGTCAGTTCCTAATATATCTTAACAAGGTTTGTTGTTATTTAATCAGTAATTCACTCCATTTAATACATCTTTGAGGGCCAAAACAATACATGTTATTGATAAATTCCCTTTGCAATTTTAAAATTTTTTAAGACTTTATGGACATTTCATACTATTTATGCTATGTATGCTGTTTATACAGTATATAGGTTAGGATTTATTTACATATCCCCAGGGAAATGGGATCTGCCAAAAAACATCTTTAGTGTATTTATTGTAAGTGGTTTATGACTTTAGTTTTTCATGATTTTTCTATAAAATTCGACATAAATCATAATAGTAAGAGTTTTTTATATAATAATCCAGTTATCAGTTAATTATATGTACATACCTTTTATGAAAATTTTCTTTCCGAACAAGGGTATTGCGACTTGTAAATACGACTAGTTCGATCAGAATCTTTCTGATTCGACATTGCCAATTAATTTCACCCTGATTGATTGGTGAAACATAAGAATTGAACCCATGAGTTCTTTAATCGCGTCCATATTTATAGTTTCAAAACTACATTACATTTTCTTTTTAAATTCCTTGCAGGGGAAAGCATACTAATTTGTCGTCAAAATGAGCAAACTCGTGGAAAATCTCTTCTGACCTCTCGACCATTGCCAGTTAAAAGTTGTCTCATACAAGCTGATAATGAAGAGTTAACAACGAGCATGAAAAGAGCAATATTGGAGGTGAGATTGATAAAACTCTATTTCAAATCCCGTCCATGCCTGGTCTCCTAACCCAGAGTGTAATAAATTGGGAAGACAGTGCAGAAAACGGAAAGATTGCAGTCCTTTCTGTAATCGCTCATTACTTAGTAGTGGCGGCTTGTATGTGGCATTGTTCGGAGCGAAAAGCACATATATATACCGCATAAAAAAACAAAGAGCATTCTATTTTTATAACGTTTCGTTTAGCCGAGACTTTCAGACTTCTTTGGACAGTCTCTTGTTATCAAAACATATAGTATTCATAACATATACCTTTCTGTAATAGCTCATTACTTAGTAGTGGCGGCTTGTATGTGGCATTGTTCGCAGCGAAAAGCACATATATATACCGCATACAAAAATAAAGAGCATTCTATTTTTATACCGTTTCGTTTACCCAAGACTTTCAGACTTCTTTGGACAGTCTCTTGTAATCAAAACATATAGTATTCTTCTCACTATTCCTAGATCATCGTCAATGGTGTTGCATCATCATATGAATCAGTGATGGAATATACAGATTGTACTTTACTTTCAGCTCAGCTGAGAACTCAAGAACCAAAGGTAGGAATTATTTGATACTGTACAGTGGCATTATATTGGGCTCGGATCTTACGACAGTGCCATCTAATATTCCATAAATCATTTTCATAGTAAATTTCAAATACAATTTTGTTCTTTTTATGATTATACATGAATACGTCTTTTATATTGAGTTGTTATCTTAGCTATAGTTGCTGCTGCCCCGCTTAGTCCCTCCCTAACTGCTGTGAGTCAATACTGTAATATGTTTTATTTAATAAATATATTTTTTATTTTATCGTATATTAGTTTTTGCGAGACAAAATATGAATGTCCAAATCTGATATGTTTGTCAGTCTCTACGTTACTAGGAAGCGGGAAGAATAAATTCACTGCATAGTGCATACTATGTTCAACATCCACGATCATGCGTCTGGATAAAATGATTAATTAATAATTAGATTTTTTTAATGCTTCATACTGGTAATCAATTAGGCTGCATGAAGATGGCTGGCATGCAGTGTTAACTCTAAGGAAATTATGAGTGCGAAAGTGCTTCGCAGTCGAAAAAAAAAGTGCGAAAGTGCTTTTTCTGATTTTAACTAGTTAGGTGCCCTAGCTTTCGTTTAAACTCATTTCAAACAGCATAGATACTCGAAAAAGCGCTCCCTCCGTTAATATTGTAAATTGAAGTCTTTCCGTTAACGGAGTTTCGTTTAAACTCTTGTTAAAAACAAGCGAATTCATCAAAGGACACCTGATAAGCACACTTGTCGGGAATAAAAGTTTCGTGCAATCAACCACCAGCGTCAGTAACGAAGCGCACTCCCGCCTGAACAGACAAGCCTTGCAAACTTGTTTCTTCCATCTAACAGACACCGATTGATACATGCAGATATTAGTTACTACCGGCCATAGCTAGGGAGGGGGATCATTTGTACAAAACACGGGCAAAATGACATCCCCATGACCCATCACTAATATCGCTTTAGTATAGCTTTAGTATAACACGCTTCCTCGTCCGAAAGAATATGCTTGAAAGTAGTCCGCCCTCTTCCCTTTTAAGAGATTGGTTAACGTCATGTTTCTCCGGCCTTTTTCTTTGGGAAATAACGCAAGATCACCATGAAAGTACCGCTGTTTTTATAGATAGAGTGACCTACTTTCTATCGAAGATTTTTTTTCCGAAATATTATGCAAGATCACTTTGAAATCCCTTTCATGAACTAGCTTGGCCTAATTTATATTATACTGTCTCAAAGACCTGTAATTTTCAAATATCGACTTGCATTGGTTTGCGTGCCAGTGAGTTCAAATCGGGTAGAAAACATCATATATTTGCAATTTTTTTTAGAAATGCCATGTACTTCCAGCATTTATAAATAACGCTCTCTCTAATGCTGCAGACCTAGTATGAAATATTCGCATCTCAACGCCACTTTCAATTACACTAATAGTAATGATGACACCAAAGAGTTTTCCTTTGCGAAGGTACAGGAAATACAACAGGGTGATTCTTGAAAAAAACATGAATTTAAAAAATAAACGAATGACATGATAGTGGTTCCCAAATAATTTTGAGTGGACGCGAAATACCAATCCATTTGATAAATCTTTTTTAGTCGACCACGTGAACGCCGAAATCCTGGAAATTAAAGTTGAAAGAGAAGTACGCATTCTCACATAAATAATCGCGATATATAATCGTTCATGTGCACAAATCTCACATGTAGCATCGGTTAGTTGTGCATGAAATGTAAATCTCTTATGTGTGTGCGTTTCAATTTCAATAAAATCAAATTCGTTTTTCCATGCACCATTACTTGTAATTTTAATATTAATTGCGTTCCGAATTTGTAAAGTTTAGAAACCTCTTGTATATACCATTACCACTATTTTGATTGGCTAAAGAAAGATAACACGTAACCGCTTTTCGGCAACATGGTATTCGTTTTATATCTGCCTTGAACAGAGATGTGCCCTCTCAGTCATCTGATCACAATCGAAAATCCGTATTCATTTTTTTTCGCGATTTCGGCAATCGTTATTATTAAGGGTTTTCGTCGACTGAAAAATAAACATCGTTCTGTTGATTATATATTTCAGGCCATGTTCTTTATATCCTGCCATAATTAGCAAATCTTTATTAAGCAACCCATGATTATAAAATAGCTTTGCTTATCATTTGCTGCTGAATCTTGTGCTATCGCTTGTCAATTATAGCAGAGACGTAAGGAACATACTTAAAAAAAATTTAAAATTTTAAAATTAAACATATTAAAAATGTTTATAAAGAAATTAGCCACGTTATCAGCGCCAACTAACAGAAAATAACTTATCATAAATCACAATTAAAATTCAGTCGGTAATAAATGGCGCTAAGGTGATGCCATACAGAACAAAAAGATTTGGTCGCGAGAGTTACCTTAGATCATAGGTTCTCAAAGTGCTCCGTACGGAGCCCCAGGGCTCCGCGAGAGAAACCCAGGGGCTCCGCGAGCTATTCGATTACTTTTCAAATACTGACTCAAAATTTTGTAACTGTTCAGAGAAGCGATAACAGCTCAGATAAAATCTGACAACAATATAGCCTCGAAATATGGTAAAGAGGCGAAATTGAAAAAATGACATTATTTATAATCAGGAACGTAGCCAGGATTTTTAAGAAGGGGAAATGGTTCAAAATTGGAATCGGAAATTTCCGCGCAACATTCTTCGCGATTAAAAAAACGGATAACGAGATTTCTGTTGCGTAAAATATTCAATCCATGACCGATGCGAGCATTTAACGTGTCTCGTCGTTATAATGTAATTGTGCTCATCGTTACTCACACTGTCGGTGCAAAACACGAACAATTGAAATTTATTTTATTGCATTCGGCTCTGTCGCTAGTTTCAGAATGAAAAAAGGTACATCGCGGATCACGTGCACAATTGACTGTGTGCGGCTCCGTCGGTAGTTTCAGAATGGAAAAAAGGTACATCGCGCGCACAATTGACTGTGTTTCGATTTCGCAGTTACTACGATGAAAACCTAACATAACACCAAATTTTGTAATTTACAATGTCTATAAAAACGTTTTCTATCTGAGATGAGTCTGCTGAAAACCAAATTTGTGATCTTCTCTTCTAAGTTTCAGTTTTAATATTTTAGAATGCCGTTTTTCAATCAAGAAATTTGAGTTGCGGATTTACCTCTTTATTAATTATTATTTTTAGCATTTCATCGCCGATGGCTATAATATGGTAACATAATTTTCACATTGAACTCATAATTCCCCACGAGAACAAAAAAAGCAATTAACGTCGTCAATGTGTAACAATACATGTATATATATGCCGAGGGAAATTTTTGATTCACGGAGAATAAACACCGGCGGTAAAGATGTTTAAAGGTTCAAAGATACGCCATGCTGACGAAAAAAATCGGCAATCGAACAAAATGCAATCGCGCACGTTATTAGCGGCCTTTTAGGTCTTCCAAAAATGTCGAAAGGGAAAAGATTCGACCACTAATTTATTAATGTTTGTCAAGTGTGAAATTTACAGCTTCAGTATATATATAATTTATGTTTGAAATTTATGTATGACTTGTATTAACCCTAAGGTTCAGCATTCAAATTAAGTAAAGTACTTTTAACTTGCTCAGGAATATTAATCTGAAAGTAACAATTTTAACATTTATTTTTTGGGGCTCCGTGAATAATAGTAAACCTTTTCAAGGGCTCCGCAACACCAAAAGTTTGAGAACCCCTGCCTTAGATGACCGTATAACGATGTTGTTTTATAAGCGGAAGGTAGAACAATCAAATTTAATAATAAAAAAACGGGGGTTACGACACCCGTAACACATCAAGTTCATTAGACATCTCTAAAGACTTCTAAGTTGGTTACTCGATTACACTATACTATCAATATTACACCTGTTTGAGTATTCCGGACAATTTCGAATTTGAAATAAACGAAAACTCAACATATCATAATTAATACACAAAAGTAAAATAAACATTCATCGAAAAAGTTATTATTTAAGAACAACAACATAATCGTATAATTCCGCCCAAACCCCGATGTTCGCAAGTGAGATGATAAATAAATACTTTCCATGTATTCGATAAATCAACTTCTGCAAACAGTCTTGGTGCAAAATATTTCCATCCAGTGCTATGCTTACAAATATTCTTTGCGTTAATATCATAACCTCGCCTATAGGACTGGGCAAAATATTCGTATCGTTTCAATTTCATACTTTGCGCCAAAAAAGGTACCAACAAAGCTTCCTAATTTTAGAAGAGTCAAAATAAATAGACTATTCGAAATAAATATCCCAGATTTCAAACTCCGTATATTGGCAGCATGAATTAGCCGTTTCATGTAGGAGCCGCACATACAATTGATTGTCGAAAATTAAAAGTTAAATTGACGTTCCGAGAGCCCACACAAGGTATAACATGTACAGGCTATAACTAGAAAAAAATGACAAGTCATAATCCTTTTAATGTGCTTTCAATTAGCTCGTTAGTGATCCCTCCCATCCTTGGCCAAGTAATGTTTCGAAAATGTGAACCTTCCACTCAGCCATGCATGGCGGGTGGAGTGTTGAAATCGTGAACAAGAGTATAACGTAAAATCAATCGTGAATTTCGATGTAACAACGCACACTGTCGCCGTCATGAATTGCGCCTAGTAACATCGGAAATGATTGAATTCGTGATATTTTAAGTATTTTTGCACCAATAATTAGGGCGTGATTATCAAAATGGTGAATTTGCAAATTCCGTAAATAAAATTGTAACATTTTAGCTAGAATTATCACCGGGCAGGGGCGCAGCCAGGATTTTTTCAACGGGAGATTAGGGGGAAGTTAAAACATTACACCAAAACTGCAATTCGCGACGACGTAATGCGTTTATAACTAAAATGTAAGGTCGTTCACGGCGAAATTTCGCAGTTACGTGTAGCCCGCCTTTCTTTGCCCAACGGTCCGAAGTCCTATTTTTAAACATCGACCATTTATCCGTAGTCAGCGGGCATCCGCATCTAGAAATGAAACATTAAAAATCGCGAAAATTAAATTTGGAGAGATCTATAACTCGCAGATGTCAGTAGTGTCATCATGGTTTATATGTACAAAAACACGCTCGCATGTAGCGACGATCAAAATCATGAAAATGTGAAACTATTACTTGAGAATTATTGTTAATAAAGTTAAATTTTTATTGCCATTCAATGATTATTTCATAATTTTGTCATAATCGAAGGCTGCAGTAAATTTTTTGTCGCCGCGATCGTGTTGTTAAACTATATTAAAGCATGTTTTTATTCACTAGCAAATATTAATTCTCACGTAAGGGCGGACATCGGAGTTTGGTTTTTATATTTCGGATAGAATTGTGAATTCACATCGGCGAAGATTTTAAAGACAACTATTAATGAGCGCATTCACAACGAAAATTGATTTTGTTCTGATTTTTATCTTCTGTGTAGGATTTGTATCAGTTCGTAAATTACCGTCCCGAGTTTAAGCGAACAATAATATTATTACTGACCCCGGGATGCGATATTTGTGAAGCAGATAGTTGACATTTCTATGCTTTTAATTTTATATCGTGTCTGTGTTACTTTCGTATTAAATAATAATTGAAAAACTCCGCAAATTGGTTATCTCTTGAGTACTCAGTGTTAAGTATTTACGTAACTCAGCTTTGGGTTAAAACACTGATAGTAACTAAACACGTGAATAAATCGGCAATAATGGCATTTCGACATGGTCAAAATAATATTACTCACCAATATCTCATGAAAGTTCCATAAAATACATTATTTACTTGTCTTACTTATCGACGTTTCTAAATTTACAAAAACGATGTTGACACGCTTTATACAAAATCGTTTCAAATTTATTGTTTCTACATGTTAGCGATAGCCGTCTGGTTAATTCTTACCCGTAACTCATTGTAAAGTAATGTTAATAAATTGTGTTTTGCTTTCCAATGCGCGGTTAACCGCGGTTAAATTCGTTCGTTTTCCGGAATTGCAATCAACAATTACACATTTTTTATTTATCATTATCAGTACCGAATAAAAAAAGATAACATATCGTGAAGATGAAAAAAGTCGTTGAAACTTGAGTTGAATTAGTTGCAATTAGCGCCTGATTAGGCACCAGAGCACTCGAGCCCAATGTTTTTAGCATTAGTCGCATATGTAAAATATCCTTAAGAAGTGCTGTTTATTAAAGTCATCCCGTCTTATGGCCACGCAGAAATGCCTTTATTGCCGAATTATTTAATCACCAGTTTAAATCAACATTCAGGATTGGCACAATCTCAGATTTGCGAGATTTATCTGTAAATTAATACAGACACCATAAAAAAATTATAAAAGTTAATTATCGTATTAAATATTTGCATTCCGGCATCGATAATAATGATACCATTCGCTTAAAATTGGGACAGTAAATTTACAAACGTTGATAGGTAATATCAAGTCAACGCAAATGTTTATTTTGGTTTTGAAATTTGTCGTTGATGCCCTTAACAGCTGTTGCCGATGTGAACGCACGCGTAAGCCTGGATTGCCAAACCCAGGATATAGTGGCCAAAACGATTGCGGTGACAAAAACAATTAGCTATTATAACGAAATTAACCAGTAGAAAAGGCTTCCTTGCTAATTTTTCGACCGACGTTCTAGACTCCTGCTGTGCATAAAAAATATTCCTTATTCGTTAAAAATATTCAATTCGAAAAAATATTCGATTTTGCCCACCCCTACTCGCATAATAATGAGGAAATAGTTTAGATTGATTTTTGACTCTGGTCTGAGTTTGATTTATCGTGAATGACTAGACTAGCTAATACTGAATATCGCAAAATTCCGCGAAACGCCATTTGCTTTTAACATTCGTGGTTACAATAAAATGGCTGTTAAATGTTAATACTAGGTATGTATTTTGTCAATTTGGCGATTTTGCAAATCTGTGAGATGCTGCTAAAAGTTTCTTCTAATTTAACAAACAATGGCCCAAGTTTACATTCCATTACTAAACAATGTCGTGTCGAGTACAGAAATTTCTGAATGGCTCCAGTAAATTCACTAAGAAGAGAACACAGACCTGTCAAACCAGTACTAGAAAATCGTGTACTTTGGTCACAATTCATCGATGTCATTGACAGTCACATGACCACTCTCGTTTAGAGAAACGCACTGCCTTGCTATCGGACATCTGGTTTCAAAGACGCCGCCGAGCGTTTTCGTGGTCGAAGCGGAATCGGTGTGCTTGTATAATAATCATATTATAAACAAGAATTTTGCCATTAACGCAAAAGCTTTATCTTCCATGTCTTCACCACATAGGTTAGAATTCCGGTAAATATCGTTATGATATGCAGAATTGAGTTACAAAAGTACTAGTATGTTACTTATTTGTCAACTTAATACGCACACAAAAACATTTGTCAACTTTGAATTTTTATTCCATTCAAAATCGAAAAAAAGTGCTATTTCTCTTCAAAATCGGAAAAAAGTGCTATTTCGCAGTCCCTAAAAAAAGTTGCGAAAGTGCTTCGCAATTTTCGCAAAAAAGTGCGCTAATAGTGAACACTGCTGGCATGTTCATGACACGTCTCGTTGGCTTTGCTTCTTCAATATAAATATTAAAAAATTATATTATTGTGTACATATGTTTGCCTTGTTCAGAGTAGGGCGTGTAAAAATCTCATATATAACAGAAAAAAACAAGATATTTTTTTACCCTAAAAAATTTTATTGTTTTTTAAGGTAATTAAAGGGCCAATGACTCGACGTCGCTCATCCATATCTTCCCCAAGTTTGAAAAGATATTCAGGATTTAATCGAGATGTGATTGAGAATTGTGTGGAATGGTTGGTTGAACATGAGTTTGTACATTTTCAAGATGGTGCCAGTGGAAGTGAAATGTGTGAGAGCAATGTACAGAGGTGAGATGGCATGATGGGCTAGGGCAGTGATTCCCATTCTTCTATGGCTTGTGGACCCTTTCCAGAGACTTTCAGCACTCATGGCCCACTGTTTATCATTCCAGTTGTATTTATAGTGTTATTTTGATTGGTAGATTCCAAATCCCATTATGTTCAAACAATTCATGCACAACAAAGTGAAAACACACCCTCAAATATCCCTATCAAGCAATGAAACTAGGGAGAACGAGATGTTTTCTTGTAAATTGAAAAGTAAAATCAGTTTTGCGCTTAGCATTTTGGCCCCCTCCAACTGCTTGGTGGCCCCCTTGGTTGGCCATGGGGCCCCCGGTTGGGAACTGCTGGCTTAGGGTTTAGGGCTTTGTTTTATATTGAATTGTTTGTTAAATGTCTTGGGTTCGAAATCCCAGAAAAAAAACATGGAATGAGTAAAATATTTGAATAAATGAATATGGTAATATAAATTAAAACTATAACAATCACATATCTTACTGTATATATTCATATTTTTATGTGATTTGTTTTGAACAAAAACTACTTGCATTAAATTGGGATATTGGATATTCAAATTCAAAATCCGTCTTGGGCACTAAATTTTTGTAAATGAAATTGACAGGTAACATTTTTAAAAACCTTGAAGTAATAAAAATTACTGACATTATTGAATTGTTCAATTCATCAATAAGGATATTCTAATGACTAGAGAATGCCGCAAGCGAAACTTGAAAAACATCGTTTAAAAAGAGTTTCAATTGCTGAGATATGCATGGGCTCACATTTTTGCTTCCAAATTTGACCTCTGCCCTGTACTGAAATTCCTACAATTGTAACTACGGACCAATCGTCATTTGCTTTAACTTCCTAATCAGGTAATATCATGAATTTAACTGGTGCCTATGCTTGCTTTAATTTGTAACTCAGACAAACAGCTCAATTTAATATAGGGCATACTCTGACTTTGTTCTTACTCACTCATATCCCTATTTTTGTACAGACATATAATTGCAACTCAGCTAGGAAGAGCTGCTCTACTTTCCTCTCTTCCAACATCAGAAGCATTGACAGTTCTTGCTGATCTGCACCAGGCTATGAAGGCATTGGCTTTAGATACAGAACTGCATTTGATATATTTGGTGAGATTGCTGTTTTTGTATTTATTCGTAACAGATAGAGTGACTCAATGATCAACATGGCAAACCGCAACCGTTTGTCTGGTTACCTTTCCATGCCAGACATAGGAATAGTTGACCAATTTCTGACTCAAGATGCTTTGACATGTTGGAAAAGGCCACAACCCTCACATTATTTGTGTACGTCCCCACAATCTCACCTAATTTTAAAGTGTGAAGGAATGAAATAAATAATTGCTCTTAGAAATCATGTCATATGACGACTGGTCGGTTTTCTACTTCCACCAAGCACATTGTGACGAATCCACCTGGCAAATCAATTTTATTCTTGAACTGAATTGATAACTTGACAATGAAGTATGATTTTTCAGTTGACATCGGCTTACCTCGGTTTCTCTATGGTTTGATATCATATTCTGAACATTTCACAACATCTCCAGTTTAAAAAAAATCAATTCTTGTTTGCAGGTGACACCAATCTTCTGTTATAATGAATGGACAGGGCTGGATTGGTATCAATATCTCAATGTTTATGAATCTCTTTCAACTTCTCATAAAAATGCTGCAAATCTGATCGGGGTCACAGAACAGTTTCTTACGAGAATGGCATCTGGTGCTCCAACTTCTACAAGACGTGGAAAGCAAGCTGAAAAAATGCAAAGATTACTGGGGACACATAGAAGGTATATTTTACCCCAAATAATGCGTATAATTCACACAGCATGATACATATGCTAATTTTTACCTCCCATTTTTAAGAAAATAGTTTGATTTCCATTTTGCTTATGCCATTGGCAGCTTGTCTTTTCACTACTTTCATTCTCGTATTTAAGAAAAGATAAGATATATTTATTTCGACTTCATAATAATCATAAAAAGTGATAAGATTATTGATAAAAACAAATAAATAAGAATTGAATATGAAATCAAATCGGGAGAGCAAACAAAACCTTGGATAAGGTTTAATACGTATAGATTATAAGATGGAAGGTTTTGCCATTAAAAAGTGGTACATATTCACTCACCTAAGTAGTTAGTTATTCAAAGCTGTATTCATATATGCAACTCAAAGTTCAGGGTCGATCATGAGCATCTCATCCATAATTTTCAGGGATTCAATTTCAGATGCAACCATTCCCCCTTTTTAATGGTTATCAAATTGAATATAGCATTGGTCAACAATAATTAATATATATAAGAGTCTGAGCCCACCTCTATATTTTTTGGTCTGATAATGAGGTGATACTATGTCATATAACTGAGTTATGCTTCTAATTTTCCGCATTGCCACTACTACTGCATATGACAAAAATGCTTGTCCTTAGTATTGTTGTTTGTGTTTTATTTAAAATGTTTTCTTTCAAATTTCAGATTCTATGCAGCTTTAGCGCTTCATGACTTGGTGCAAGAAGTTTCATTATCGAATGTTTGCTCAAAATATTCCTGTAATCGAGGAATGCTCCAACAATTACAGCAGTCGGCTGCCTCATTTGCAGGTACAATTCAATTCATACAGGGTGGGCAAAACGTAGATTAAAATTATGAAATTACTTTGTTGTTAAGAGCCTTTACCCTGGTTTTGGCTGCTTGTATATTAAAAATAAGATTTACAGTAATATTTTTCTGAAGAGAAATGTGAGGTTTTTTTCAAACATCGTATCGAGGTCCATTCACGAGTTCAGGCTTGGTATAGGAATATTTAACCAGATAAACAGTCCAGGTGCATAGGACAGGTTTTTTACGAAGAAAACCAAAATCGACCAGTGTTGTACCGGAGACCTGTATTTAACATATTTATTCGCAATATAGCAATCATGATGTGTGCTGGACAATTAAGTAACCATCACGTTAACTTAACTGAAAAAACGGGGATTGCTGAATTAGTAATCTTCTGTGAAATCAATCCAATTCAATGCTTGCGAAAGATTCTGATATTGATTTTTGATTATGAATTCCAACTTTCTTTTCATTTTTTCAATTTGGTCGAAGAGATTAATAATGTTATATTCCAGTCCATGACTTGTTATTGTTGCTTCAAAATGATTTCAACTTTATTAAATTCTGTGGTGTTTTAACAACTTCAATATGACTTCATTTGAGACTGTTCCTAATGAAAGCAGTTGCAAAAATATGTCTTTCTCCATCTCATACGCTAATTTATTAATTCATGAACACCTGCAGTTGCTTCACATTTATCATTCTGTTGTTCAGGTATGGTGACAACATTTTGTCAGGAGTTAGGCTGGTGGAGTTTGGAAGTTCTATTGAGAGAATTCCAAACCAGACTTGCATTTGGTGTTCAGAGAGAACTGATGGATCTGATGCAGGTATTTGTTGCATGCACTGTTGCTAATAATCTTCAGTTGTAGATAAATGTATATTTTAAATGAGTATGTTTACCAATATGGAGGTGACTAATTTTATCCGCCTACTTTACATCAAGTTGTCTAAATGGACTGAAGCCTATGAGCAGGGATTCACTTGGTATACTCACAGGCATATTCACTTGACTAACACAGACATTCTCCGAACTCGTAATAGAACTAAAATAGGAAATATTGGAATAAATTATAGCCTAACCCTAACCTGGTACACATACTACAGGAGTACCTTTGAATGTTCATATAGCATGTTCCATACCACGTCTTATTTTTGCTTTTTAATCCTAGTTTTCTCAATCTACATACATATATTTATTAGAATTGTCCTGAAACATGTGCAAGCAAAGCAGAATCCTATTCCATATAATATATTATATACACATATACTATATTTTTTCTTAACTTTCCTATTCCTAAAAAAACAGTTCGTGTGACAGCGCAAGATGGTAAATATGTAAATATTATGGAAATGGAAAATAATTTGTTACTTTTATCGCTGCATAACATCTCTTGGATAGAAAATAACATTTATTTGTACATTATCAACATTTCCAGATATCCCTGCTGAACAGTCAGCGAGCAAGAGCATTGTATACAGCAGGATTGATCACTTGTCAACAAGTATCTCACGCTGAACCGTCTCATATTGAATTGGTGCTCAGGAATGCTTTGCATTTCCAAACGTAAGTTTAAGGGGAAATTCAAACTGAATTTTTGTTGCTTGCATAATTTCTATATATACTTATTTGAAGCATTACTACAGGGGTCGGCAACCTTTTGTCGCTCGCGGGGCAAAATTAAAGGTTGCAAGTTATTGGCGGGCCGCACACATTTTTAAAAAGTTAAAAATTGAATGGATGACCAATGAATCACATTTTATCACACAGATCAGAAGTTAAATTTTAAGCAGCGCGCGAAGACTGACCATTTGAATATTTTTTGCGCCAATAAACCATTTGCACTTAGCATCAACTGTTCAGTGTTTTGTTGCCATTTGTCTAAATTATAATTAAATTAATGGCTTATTAAACGAGTAATTGTGAACTATATACTTGTTACGTTATAATATAATTTAGTCTACACGTAAATTCTTTTGCATAAAGAATATAATCGACAAAACAGCTATAACTTGTTACTATAATTCAGTTAAGCGTCGCGGGCCGGATTATATTGCTTTGAGTGCCGGATCCGGCCCGCGGGCCGTAGGTTGCCGACCCCTGCATTACTAGAAGCATAGTTGTTTACTTGACATTATGCTCGAACCTTCCTTGTTGATCATAGTTTTCATGAGCTACTTGGTCTATTGTGTGGTATTTTTCGTGTGATGGACAATATTCGTGTGATGGACAAACATATCTCAACAATACGACTTTGATGCAGACGCTAACAAGTACTCAGTTATACAAAAGGGGATACTTTTTTAGGGATAGAATCTATCTGCAGTCATGAGTATATATTTGAATCCAAAATATTTTATCTACAATGCTAAATGAAATGTTTCTATTAGCAGGTCATCTATGAGATTGCTTATACTAATTTATTATTTTGAATAAACTGAACAGAAATCGTAAAGCAGTGAATGAATCAGACTGGGAAGTGGAAGAACGGAGAAAACAAAGAAACGTTCATGTTACTGGAAAGAGAGGAATCACTGAATATGAAGCTGCTCAGTTGATTATCGATGAAGCAAAAAAAATTTGTGGTGAGTTATTTGATAGTCCAGTGGTTCCCGACCTTTTTTTTGCTCGTGGCACCCTTCTGGAGATTTTTAGCACCCATGGCTCCCTGTTTATCATTCCGGTGGTATTTATAGTGTTATTTTGATTGGTGGACTACAAATCCCAACATGTTCAAACAATATCAAGCTCAGCAAAGTGAAAGCACCCTGTGAAATAGCCTCATAAAAGCAATGAAACTAGTTAATAAGGGGGAGTTTTTCTTGTGAATAGGAATGTAAAATCAGTATTGGGTCAAGCATTGTGGCCCCCCTCCATCCGCTCTGTGGCCCCCGGTTGAGAACCACTATCAGATAATCAGTAAGGTATTGAATTGAATTCTCGAATATTATAAGAGATGTTCTTGGCTATGTATGCGATATAGATTTTTTATTTTTTTTTTTCAAGCTTTACCTGTCACTTATAATTGAGAATTGTACTTTAATAAATATCTTGATCGATTGAACAGAGTATTAGTTTCGCATTTTTCCGTTTGATTGTGTTTTTTCTGGGGCTGTTATAGGTCTCGTTTTTGAATGGGATCAGGTTTAGCTATTTCAAAGTTTTAATTGAATCTTATCTAATCTCTGTACTAGTCATTAGTTTGGTACTTCCACGTTCAGTGTCTTCAAATTATAGCAACATTTGTTATCTTTTTAGGTTCGAAGCAAATAAAAGATGAGAGTTTTATGGCAGAAAAATCCCCTCAGACTAAGAAATCAAAGACACAGTCATCACACAAAGACAAAAAGCTGATTCTTTTAACTGAAGAAACTCCAATGAATATTGGGGATAATGGAACAATTGATAATGTCGACAAGGTTACGGGAAATAAAACTCTAGATTTAGATCAACTCAATGGTGATTCTGCCAATGTTGTGAGTGTGAAAAGTACAGGCAAATCCCCAAGTAATAATAGAACTGAAAAAGTATTCACAGAAGTGCAAACTGGTGAAATAGAGTCACTTAGGGATGATCAACCAAATATTAATTGTTTTCAAAACCAATTATTGTCTAGAGAAGCGCCCATTTTAACTAAAGAGTCAATGGAGAAGGGCCTATCAAATTATGAAAAAGTTTCCAAACAATTATCCCCCATAAGTACACAACACACTAGAGAAATGTTCAACAAACAAACAACAAATAGTCAAATATCTGATGCAACATTGATGCCAGATCCTAATGATGTATCAAAATCTTCATCCCTGGTAGAAACACATAGACCTTATAAACAAGGGTTGCCAGATTTTAACTCCACATCAAAAACTGTTTCCCAGGTAGTAGATTCAGGTTCCAAACAAGGGTTGCCAGATTCCAGCTATGTTGTAAAGGAATCTTCAATTACTGAAACACATAAATCTTGTAAACAAATGTTGCCAGATTCTGACTATTCATCAAAAACTGTTTCCCAGGTAAAAACACATCCAAGTTCCATTACATCCTCCAAACAAGGGTTGCAAGTTTTCGTCTCCATTGCAAAAGAATCTTCAATCACTGATACCCAATTACAACTGGTATTAGGTGATGATACAATGAACTCGTCATTTTCTGATTCTGAAACTGTAAACGATACAAACAGTGCAGTTAAAGAAAAGGAGGACTCTTCTAAAATTAATCCAAATTTAGTTACGGATTCTGTAAATCAAAATAGCAAAATGTGTTTGAATATTGACATTGCTTGCCAAGATGCGGAAAAACTCAATGAAAACACTGCTAAATTTATAACTAATCAAAGTAAAGGTGAAGATGATAGTATTTCATCAGCAAATTTGAGTTGTTCAGAAACAAATAATTCTAGTATTCTCGAATCAGAGGATATTTTTGCCGAAACGAAATTTGATAACTCAATAACTGTTCTAGATTCTGTGAAAACAGATAATGCTGTTACTATAGTTGAAGATAGCCCAGCAAGTTGCAAAGAACTTGAGTTGAATATTGAAGACTCAATGTCTTCAGACTGGGATCAAAATTGATTTTGAAACATGAATTCAAGCCCCTTAAATAATAGTATTACCCCCTTCTTGAGTCCTGCTAGTTCAAGTGAAAATCAGCAAAATGAGACGAATTCTTTGAATTTGAGTGAATCATCCGATTCTGAATCTCCGATTTCGCTCATTTTTGATGCTGATTCCTCAGATGATTTAAGTGAAGAAGAATTGGTAGACATGGATGTTCCAATGTTTTCAAATTGTAGTTCTGGAGATGAGATGGGTTCAAAGGCCACATCTGATTACTCAGGAGAAAAACATTGCTTGGATTCGGTTTGTGATATGAAGAATATTTCTTCGAATAGTGAGATTTCATTGAAAACATCGTTGACTGATTCGCAACTTGATGCAATTATGGATGACAGCTTTTCACAAGAGAACATTGCACACTCTTCTAGAATACCGAATAACGAAAATGTTGAAATAGGCACTAAAAGATGTGTAGGACATACAGTAGAAGCTGGATTAGGCAAAGTGAAAATGTTCTCAACTGCGACTTTTGAAAATTCTTATGGTTTTTCTGTAACTTCACCAACTCAAACTATATCAAAAAATGATTTGTCAAAAACAACTCAAAACAAAAATATTTATCAAGGACCAGCTCAGTTCTCTGAGAAAAAACAAGAGCCACCTGCTTCGCAAAATAGTGGACATTCTGTCGAGAAGAGAGTGTCAAATAACCTTGTTTTATCTCCTGATGTCATAAAAGCGATGGACATCAGTGATAGTGTGATTAGCACACCCTGCAGCTCAAATAAAAACTCCAGAAGAAGTGATAACTTGAAAACTGAGAAATCATTTAGTAATCTGATTCTATCACCTGCTATCCTTAAAGAGATGGATGTCAGTTTTTCTCCATGTAATTCAGCCGACAATTCTATCATTGCTAGCAACACTGTGTCAGGTCTTTCTAAATCCACTAATAATTCAAATTGCACAAAACCCAAACCAATTTGTGACAGATATTCTAACAGCAAATATAAAGAGGCAAACACTTCATCTTCACATGCGAAGGGTTCACCTTATGTTAGCCTTGGACAGCCAACTTCAAAAGAAAAATTTTCTGTTTATAATTCTTCGAATAGTAAACCGAAATCAGCTTTACCAACATCATCATATGCAGGAGATATCCTATCTCCACATGTAAGTCTTGGACAACCAGTGTCTTCTACTTCCACTCCAAAGAGTCATATCCATGCTAAGGTATTGAATCAAAAATGGAAATTACCTTTGAACTCTTTTTCCAATGCTGCTATGTCGCCCTATGTAAGCCTTGGGCAGCCAGTTGACAGTAAAACCATTCTCGAGAAGTCAAAGTTTGTTAAAATAGGTTCTGCGGCTGATGTTAGCACAGTTTCTGATAACAGCTTGGAAGATCTTTTCGACATGACAACCTTCGGGTCAAAAAGTTCAAATACAGAAAATTCGAAATTTGATTCAACTTTTTCAATTGAAAATTTAGACAAAGCTTTCAATTTCAGTGATTTATCCTGCAATGAAAGTTTTAGTGATAATATCACTGATGAAAAAATAACAATTCCTGATACAAAGAAATCAACTGATAAGAATAATGCAGTGTTGCGAAAAAGAAAATCTCCAACTGTTATAGTTTCACCTACTCAGTCAAAATCATCTAAAATTGCATCAAATTGCCCAAGTACTCCAAGTAATCATGTAACACATGAACAATTCATTGAAGAAGAGCAGTTAATATTATCATCTCAAAAAAGTCCTATAAATTCGAAACGAAAACTAAAAAAAAAGCACACGGGAGCTAGAAAGTCTATCATCACCGAATCGAAAAAGAAAATACCAACATCGAAAAATGAAATTATTAAAACCGACTGTAAAAATAAAGAAATAAAAATGACATCACTCAATGATATTACCAATACACAGGATAAAGATGCGAACATCATGAATAATATCAGTTCTGGATTGAATACAGGAGAGGATGACGGTTTTATTGCCTCGTCCCAAACTTTGGTGCCAACTGCAGTACCCGTTACACAAATCTCACAAAAGTTAACGGCTTCACAGACTGGGTTGACGATAATTGATGTTTGCTCTCACACTGAGTTATTCAACACTTTCATGGAGGAATGGAATTCTAAAACTTGTTTTTCTTTTGCCGTTGCCACAAGGAGTAATGAAACACATAAGGTTGGTGACTGAACTTTCAATAAACGTTTAGCTAGTATGTAGAATATATTTTCAAAATCAGGTGTTTATAAGTTTTGAATGTAAGATGTGGATTGGGATAAAATTTTGTCACATTTGTGAATCAGGGGTAGGAGTTAAGGGTTTTAGGCTTTTTTCTGTGTCTCTCGAAACTTTTGAAAATTTATAGACCTACTAGTTGTTACGGTCTAACTTGGCGATTAGGAATTTCAGAACCGCAATCCCCCCCCCCCATTCTAAAATCCTGGTTACGCCCCTGACTTGAATTTGAAATGTAATTTTGGAATCACAGGAACTAATTGAACCATAATGTTAGTGGTTCATCATTTGACTTTGTAATAAATTTATTTACATTGTCAAGAGACACATTATATACAAGAATCGAATGTTATTTAACGATATGTAGGAGCTGCTGTTCATCATTGCCTACCTAATTTATTACTCTCAGGCTAAGGTGATCCTTGTGGGATTTGAACTAGGATACCTAACCTGTGTTACCGATATAGTTTGGGTCTAGTATTTTAACCCAGGGGTGTGGCAGCCTGCGGGCCACAGCCCAGCCGGTCAAGCCATTTAGTGTGGCCCTTGTTAATACTTGTCGCTAATGTATCCCATTGCTGCGTGATTTTATAACACTCGTTTAAACTATTATAGTGTGCTGTAATAGTCCTTCATTGTGATTGCTTGGCACTTTGTTGTGTACATGGAACAACTAAAGTTGCTGTGTTGCAATTAACCATGCCCATTAATGTTAATATTGAGAATATCATGTTAGCAAACACACATCTCTAACCGAATTAAAGTAGATGTCTTAAGTTGGGTATATGACTCACCAACAAAAAATGTTGCACACTCCTGCTTTAACCAATTAACCATGCCCATTAATGTTAATATTGAGAATATCATGCTAGCTAGCAAACGCATCTTCATAATTTTTCAAATATTTATATTACAGCCTCAATTCAAAATTAGTGTGCCGTCCTCTACGACCACTAGTAATCAACAGACAGAAGGTACTGAACAACAGAATTCATATAGCATTGCAGGAATTGCTGTGTGCTGGGGACAGCAAGATGCTTATTATATATCACTAGAATCTGAGGTATTGCTTTTGAATATTTAAGTATATACCATAAGTATGAGTTTATTTAGACTCCATAATTAGCAAAAGACGATAAAATAATTGAGAAAAACAAAACGAGAATATCGGTTGGAAACCGAAGACTTATCGATCGATAGTTAGGGGATCCCCCAAAACAGAAACTGCAGTTTCGATTCATCCGCTCTTGTAACTTGCGCACTGCGCATCGCACACACACACTCGGCGGGTCTCAAAATTCTCTCGCTTTACAAAAATCTAGATCACTATATCAATAATTGATTGATAACTCGCTAATTATACGACATAATTCGTCCAAAATCAATAGGTTTCTGGTCCGAGATAAGATGAATGCACATGCAAAATTTGGAGCAGATTCAACCTCGCATTCGCGAGATATCGCGTTCATCTAACAGACACACCGACAGACAGACATACATACAGACAAATACCTATCAATATACTTACCGATCTTAAGATCGATAAGTAATAAATAAAACTGATTATGGAATCAAGAAAGCAAACGAAACTTCAAGTAAGGTTTAAAGCAGGGGTCGGCAACCTCCGGCCCGCGAAGCACTATAATCCGGCCCGCGACGCTCCACTAAATTATAGTAACAAAACATCTGTTTGGACGAATATAATCTTTAGACTAAATTATATTATAACCTAACAATTATATAATATTATATTATAATAATAATAATTATAATATTATATAATAATAATAATATATTTCACAATTACTCGTTTAATGAGCCTATAATTTAATCATAATTAAGCAAATGGCAACAAAACGCAGAAAAGTTGATGCTAAGTGCAAAGGGTTCAATGGCGCTGAAAATCTTCAAATGAAATTTTATGAGATGCAATGAGGAAATAAATCTATATTCTATTCGAGAGATATAAAAAGTACCATTCGTTCGATTTTTCAACTTTCTAAAAATATGTGCGGCCCGCCAATGACTTGCAACCTTAATTTTGGCCCGCGAGCGACAAAAGGTTGCCGACCCCTGGTTTAAAGCGTACAGATTTTAAGTGGGAAGGTATTGATAAAAGAAGTAGTACGTGTTCGCTTTTTCTATTAATTCTATTTTCTAATTTTCTAATTCAATTTCTATTAATGGTGTTACTTTATACTTACTGGAGTTAATTATTGGACTCATTGAAAATTTTAACCCTATTTGATATGCTGAATAAAATTTATGAATAAACCGAGTTTTGAACCCAAGATCTCTAGCTTTTTTTGTTTCCTTGTATAAAACATTTTGAAAACTAAGTAACTATTATGTATAGTAGGCATTTAACAATGCTGGTATCGCATGTTGAAGATTATGGGTCTAATCACTATGTCCATCATCCAGTGATTAATTAGACTAAGCCAGAAGGATTTCATTCCCAAAGCATAGTAGCCCTACCATAGTTGATGCTGCTTGTTTTGAGCCCTTGTCCAAATCAAAGGTGCAAAATGGTTTGTAAAAAGATATCAGTAAGAAATCAACTCAAAGCAAAAACAGTTGTAATAATTTTAGTTCTCTTCAATTTTCTTCAGGAGAGTGAAATAGATGCGACTTTATATCCAAGAGAAGCCAGAATTTACTGAGTTGACACCCCCTCCAGTGGCCAAGAAATTAAGTGTTGAACAGCGAATTGACGCAGTGAGATCTTCAAATTGTGCTTTTCAAAGAAAGAACTGCATTTCTGGTGCTTTTTGTATCAAGAAGCAATTTAGAGTTTTGAGAAAACTTGTTGAAACTTCAAATGCTTTTTGGCAGGTGTGTGATTTTGGGAAAACAAATTGAAAAGTGAACCTACTACCTAATATGCTGTGCTGAGCTATGTTGTTGCTAAAATTAAATTATTCTAAATACTTAAAATTGAAATACCTTGAGACTACTGACTCTGGACGTAGATGTTTGAGAAATCATAGTTTGTCTTATTCTGTAGAACTGACTTTGATATTGTGCATTTTGATCGGCGCATACTTTTTGGCAGGCGTGTAACTTGATTTTGGGGAGGAAAACAGATTAAACTGATTATTCACCGCGAGAAGCGTGAAGTATTTAATGTTTCAATTAAAATAAAGTTGAAGATTGAAGTGGGAAAAATTGATATTGTAATTTCGCTCATATGGATATCAGATCTTTCATTCAAATTATTTTCATTGTTCATTTCTTAATTTTCCTAATGGTTGTGTATTGTTTATTGAATTTTATATTTTTATTTTTATAGTGTGTAAACATAGATCATTCTGATGAAATGGACTTTCAAATGTTTCTAATATTAGTTATGTTTATTCAATTTTCATTCCATGCAATTTATTCACCCCCTTGTGCTTCTATAATTTTCTAGGACCCAACAGTAGCTGCCTGGATGCTGGACCCTTCAGCTAAAGAAAAAACATTGATTGGCTTGGTCAACCAGTTTATACCTGCAGATTCTCATCTATTAAGAGGTGAATTATTTTTTTCAACAATCTTTTAGTTTGGATTGATGATTTTAAAGAAATCTTTTCAGTACTGGCAGTTGATTTTACCCTACTTTTTCGGGAGTGAACTTTGTTTGAATTGAGAAAAATCACAATATGCAGATTGCAGAATAAGTTCTACGTTGTAGGAATTAGATTCAATTTTTTGATACAAAAAAATGAAGAAGAGCGCTCAAAACTATGAAAACGAGTCAATATTTACAGCATTGCTTGGGGGAGGAAAAAATGTCCGAGCGGCTGCTAAACGTTCTTGTTGATAAGCCAATGCAACTTAAATAAACAAAGATGCAGAGGCCAGGGGAACATCCATTACACACTGAAATATTGAAAAAACACACCAGATAACGCTTTCTTAGAATCCTATTCCTAACAGTGTGAATGCTGAATTTCAATTTGACCTTTTTTGGCTTTCAATTTGACCTGGATGAGTCATACTGGCTGTTCCTGTTGTCTAATTTAATTCAAATTCATTGTTGTGTATTTTTTCCATGATTGTGTAATTTAGAGAATATTTTTTTGGACACGAGGGGACATAACGATCGTTTCAATATTATGTTGATCTTGTTGTTGTTGTTGTTCTTTGACACTTTTTGGACATCTAGTGGAAAACTTAAAAAACCGCTTTTCTCTTTCATTACTGGACCGATTGCTTCGAAATTTTTACTGGTTAAAGATAAAATTTTTCTCCAAAAGGCTATTACTTTTAGTTATTTCAAATATTTCTGTTAGCTCTGTGAGATTTGTTTTTGTTTGCTATGACGTCATTAAACGTTCTGCGGACATCGGACGCCATTTTGTGTCCTACTGTACTGCTTCGCTTGGTGTGAATATATTTGTAGACTGTGATCTGACGGTACGGTAAACCGTACTGTACTGCGAACAGACGTGTCCATATATTTGGGCGTAGCTCTCTTGTTCTTTATCAGATTGCTTCATTGCTACATTTGCTGCTATAATACAGCATTTGGTGTCGCTGACTGGATGACTCACTGAGTCTTTCGTGATCCCATGTCAATTACTGTGAATGAATGTTCCTCGTTTTTTTAGTTTACTATGTTTTTCTTTCGCTTTATATTGATTTTTGCATGACGAAAAATAAACATCTGAATCCCTGAATCTAAATTATTAATTTCATGAAAATTAGGGGAACTTATTTCTTGAAGACTTTCAATAGAGTATTTGCTTTTTTTCTATTTTTGCTAGGTTTGAACAAATGCAGTAACTTCGGTTCTATATCATGTGCCAGTAGGAATGATTCTTATGCTCCGGCGAGGATTCGTGCCTGCGCTGAGGCTATTTGCTGTTACCGTGTCATGAAGAAATTAATACAAGAGCTGAAGAGTGTTGATATGTTGGATATGTACAGTGATGTGGAGATGCCGCATATTAGAAGGTTCGTGGGAAGGGAAAAGCTTTTCACCCCAAGTTTTTCTGTTTTCATATTTCAGGGTTATGTTTTCATAGGGCATTTGGTACAATTCATTTAATTTTTTCATCCAATACAATTTTTTGGCATTCGACAAATACTGACATTGTTTTTCAGCACTTTAATTTAATTATTTACCAAACTTGCCATGTGTCCTTTCTGTCCATATACAGTATATTTAAGCATTGTTTTCTTGTTCCTGAATGCCAATCTAAATGTTGAAAAAGAATCCCTTATTTTCAGCCTAGCTTTGATGGAAATCAACGGCATAGGATTCAATAAAGAGAAATGTTCATTAGAAATAACAAATCTACATGAAACAGCAAGGCAACTAGAAAGAAAAGCTTACAAACTTGCAAAGAAACAATTCAATATTGGAAGTCCTACAGAAGTGGCAAAGGTAAAGGAGTCTTACTTTCACAAAGTAATATTACTGCTCATTAGCACAAATGTAATTCTGTAATGGTGAAATATTTGAAAAAGCATTTCGAATCTTTCATTCTTTACGCTAATACAAAAATTTTAACTTGCAAATCTGGTTCTTCACTCCGTGGCTCTGCTGCATTATTAATATGTTAGATGTTCTGGAGAATTTCACTAACATAAAATCCACCAACACGAGAGCAAAGATGAAAGAGTGTTACCTAGGTTTGACATGGGGAAACTGCGGCCTGTTGGCCAAATCCAGCCGATACAGCCAGCCAAATCCAATCTGTCCCAACTGATGCTGCCAAAACCAAATTAAAACTAAATTTGTATGTTTTAGCTAAAAGTAGCTCGAAGAACTTGTTGAGATTGCAATTAAATGTAGTTTCGGCACAAAGCTTATTGTTTTCCACTTTTGCTTTTTTTAACACTGTAAATATTGTTCATGAAATTTGGCGCCTGGTACGTAAACCATGCCCTTCCTTGGCCTAGGTACATCAACCCTTATTACTTATCGATTTCAATCGGTAAGTATGTTGATAGGTATTTGTCTGTCTGTTGGATGCACGCGATATCTCACGAAAGCGAAATTGAATCTGCTCCAGAATTTGCATGTGCATTCATCATAAGTTGTACCAGAAGCCTATTGATTTTGGATGAATTATGTCGTATAATTAGCGAGGTATTAATTAATTAGTGATGGGACACAAGGTGTCACTATGGAGTAAGAGCGCTGTTTTGGGGGATCCCTTAACTTTCGATCGATAAGTCTTCCGTTTCTGACCGATATTCTCGTTTTGCAGTTAGACATTTGGACTATCATTCATAATTTTTAGGATTCTGAAATCCTGATTTTTTGTATTATATTGTAGGTTCAAGATTTCTTCATTGATATTTCCCACTCTAATAAAATAAAAGTCCAACGAATAAATTTTTAGGTACTTTTTGGGGATCTTGGATTACCTGTGGATGGATCAGATACTAAAACTACCACTGTGACAAGTTCTACTCGCCCAGGATTGTGGAGAAAAAGAGGAGGGAAAATCCCCCAATCTTGGAGCACAAAAAAAGAAATTCTAGAAAAATTAAAGAAGTTTCATCCTCTGCCTGAAATTATTCTTCATTGGAGACAAATCAGTTTTACTTTATCAAAGGTGTGCATTTTAGTTTTTACCATCAGTGTCAAGAAAAATTGTTTGAGGGGTACTCTGAAGTATGCGTACCAAAATGGGGCACACTGGAACGTAGTATGTGTACCAGGTTAGGGTTAACCAACTTTTATTCCAATGTTCCTGATTTTAGTGCTATTACGAGTTCAGGGACTAGCCAAGTGACTCCCGTAATATTGTACCTACAATTATAGCCTGACTCTAAACTGGTGCACATACTACGTTCCTGTGTCCGCCATCTTGGTTCACATACTACAGAAGTACCGTTTGAAGAGCTACTTACCTAATTAAATACTAATCAGATGATCGTGCACGTGCATGTTTCGAACTTTGGTTAGTTCGTCGTTTTGAAATGCGATTGCAATGTCGGATAAAGAGACTAGCGGTTCTAAGTTTCATTGCTGTGTCCCACTATGTAATGATGATAGTCATTATTCACCAAACTTCGTTTCATTCATTTCATAAGGATGTTAGACTGTATTGTATTGTCCTGTATTGTCAGTATATTCGTCGCAAACTTAGGTTTTGCTTGTTTTCCAGAGTTTTGTTACCGTATGTTATATGATTTGTTGTTTTCATTGAGTGTTGTGGTTTCAGAATGCCGAAATAAACGCTATTATTACGGTAGGTTTCGGTAATACATTTGGGCGTATAATGTGGATTTCGCATTCATACAGAAACTTCTTTGTCATATGATAAGATATGTTTATATTTCAAATAACTTCAGCTCATATATGAGAATAGACAAGGCAATATTTGTTGCCTTGTTGGGTTTTGCAAGATAGTTTAGTTTCCACGAGGGCAAATAAATTATTTTTTATTGACTTCGAGATAGCATCATCATTTGAATAAATTGCTAGGTTTTGGCGCTTCTTGGGCCTACTGGCTCCATATGTCTTAGAACTTAGACATGGGTAAACTAACGCCCGGTGTCCAAATCTGGCCCGTTGGGTGGTTCAATCTGGCCCGCCTGATTTCAGACTGACAATTGCCACCACCGAGGTGAACAGAATTTTGATGTTCAAAGCTAAAAAATCCCTCAATTTGTAGAGATTTTGATTATGGTGAATGTAGTTTTGGCACCAGGCTTATTGTTCTCAAATTTTGCTTTTGTAACACTGTAAATAAAAGTATGTTCATAAAAGTAACTTTTCACGTCACAATTAATTGGCCCGCCAGTCTAGGTGAACAAAAACCTTGCCCACTGTCTTATAATATTTATCGCAGGGTGGTCCAAACCCAGGCCCGCGGGACACATGTGGCTCGCCGCTTCATTTTTTGGGGCCCGCGTCGCATTTGCGCGAGGTTAAACAAAAAATCGCATTTGGTGTTGTTTCGTCATAAAAATAACCAGAATGAATCTTTTGACATATTGGCACATCACTAGTGTCATTGAATTGACTAGTGTTGTGGCTAGCTGAGGCAACTAGCGAAATAGAATGATGTGCTTGGCAAGTCCAAATTGTTAACTAGTTTCTATATTTTCGGTCGGGAATATATGTTACCGGTAACAAAATAGGCTTCAAAGAAAACTAAAAATTTAATGAGAAATCTATTAGCCTAGGCTGGCTACTCCTGATACCTGAATATTAATGTAATGGCCAACCAATATAATTCCTGCCAGGTGGTTGTTTACAACCAACATGAGTTTGAAAAGCAAGCTGACCAATTCAAACAGATTTTTGACTGGGCATGGGAGGGAAAATACCACATTGCTTGCTTAATATCTCTGTAAGTTGTGTCAGTGACAAACTTAAACAGCATTTTCTCTTTAGGGCACTATCTCTGTTATAAAGATTTTGAAATCTTACACTAAATGTAGATATAGTAAAATTTTTGCACGCTTTAGTGAGTTTTGCATGCTTTAGCTTGATATATGAAAATTAATGACCAATGTGTTTGGACAATAAAAGTGTTTGTTTTGTATTGCCCTTTTTAAGTATACTTGGCATTGTTTTGGCCCGCGAACAATACAAAAATTATGGTGTGGCCTGCGAGGTTGACAACCTTGGACCACCCTGATTATGATATCATATTTCTATACAGACATTGCATCCTTTGGTTCGAGTTAGTACTTTCTGCAAAGAAACAAAAATGAATCGAATTCATCCTGAATGCATCACACGTTCTATCACTGGTAGGGTCAGTGTTGTCGAACCAAACATTCAAAATGTTCCTAAGTCTTTCACAATCATAATTGCATCTCAAGAAACTGAGGTAATTAGTTTTTTGTAACTAATCTGTCATGGGATATTTGACGACAACTACTACAAAGTATGGGATGTTAGAAAAATAGCTTGTGCTACTTGGTTCATACTGGGCGACTCAAAAAAAGATTCTATGTTTTGAAACATATTCTATTCTGAAGAGAATATAACTTTTGTGCTAAAAGCCCTAGATGGAGCCCTAGGGAACAAATAACTATCATACACAATCAGAAGCTCCCGTTATAAATAGATTTTCTTCATTTTCATAGAAGTAATTGAGAAATTGAGGGGGTTCTTTTTTTCAGTCACCCTGTACTTGGTATATTCTGAGGTGCTATGGTTTTGAAACTTTAGCATAATGAATGAATTCATCCACATCAAACTACTTTATAGCTTGGGCTTGGAGATGCACATGCTTTATATTAGAATTCCATATGTAGAGTTTTCGGCGCTCACGTAGTATGTGAACCAAGATGGCGGACATCAGAACATAGTATGTGTACCAGGTCAGGGTTAGGCCATAATTTTATTCCAATTTTCCTCATTTTAGTTCTATTAGAAGTTCGGGAACTAGCTAAGTAACTACCGTAGTGAAATTATGGCCTAACCCAAACCTGGTACACATACTACGTTCCGGTGTTCGCCATCTTGGTTCACATACTACGGGAGTTCCGAGTTTTCTCTAACAAAAGTTAGCGCAGCATATAGTGACATAGTGAAATGTTTGGAGTTCGTATAGGTAAAAACCTCTTTAGAGGCATAACTGTGTCATTTTGGGTTAAGGTATCTTCTGAGCATCTGCGGACTGATTCAAGGAGGATAAATATTTCATATGAAGTTATGTGCGCAGCATTTTCTCGGGACTAGTGTAGTGTAGTTTAGTACCACAAGTATCGTACTTCTAGCGGACTTAGCATAACCATTTTTGCATATGTTATTTCTAACCCTCACCTGATTACGTCATCCAAAAATTATGTCACTCTGATGACACAATCATGTCATATAGCTTGCCAGAGTATAGCTAAGATGATAGATTAGAAATGACATATGAAAAAATAGTCGCGCCAAACCCGTTGCGGTATGAAACTACACGAGACCCATTTTCTCTAACCAAGGCTTTTGACCAGCAGTCACTCAATTGTATGCCATTTCTTATAATAGAGAAACTCGATCTTATTATAGTGTTGTTATGTTTAGAAACATCCAGCGATTCGGGAAGTCTGCATAAGAAATTTGTTTATACCTTCTAAGGGTGAGTCCTGCATTTTTGTATAGTATATCTTCTAGAATCTTCGGTGATAAATCCTTGACTAAGTCCTAACAATTATTTTATTTTAATGACAATTTCGGGTATGGAAATAGCAATATAAATTTTAATAGATACAGGAACTAGGTTAGCAGAGACAGCTTTACTGAACTACCTTGGAAACTTAGACAGAGAGAAAGCTATCGTACATCATCACACTCCATTCATTTGAATGGGTGTCGCTTACCGTAATCAAACGATCGGATTTCACAACTCACGAACGCGCAATTGCGGCGAATTTCCAATTTTGAAATTCGATAAGATTCTGTTGTGTTTGGTTTTATTACTTCTTCGCACAGAGTACGGTTGCAATAAACGCACCTTGAGTCCGCAAAGTTTTTTTGCCGGTGAGAAAATAGTCCGCCACCAAAAAAAGGTTGGGAAACGCTGGCCCTAGCGTGATGCACAATCAATCTTACGGAACATTATTTTCCTAATGGTTTGCTACCTTTGTCCTTCTAGAGCAGTGGTTTCAAAAGTTGAATAACTGGGGGCCAAAATTAGAAGCGGAAGGATATTCGCGGGCAAGGAGGGAGAGGCCAGCGCCGGCAAGGAGTCGATTGCGGTATCGGTGCGTATAATTAAGATACGGAACAATTAATTGTTACGAATTTACACATGCTTAAACTGTGACAATGATGTAACAATTGGCGGTATATAAAACGCAAAAAAGTAAAAACATAGTGTGTTAAAAAGTTCGGCGGGCCATGTTAAATTTTTACACGGGCCATAATTGACCCATGGATGTGGTTTGGCAACCACTGATCTAGAGTTAGCGTTGTACTTTATTACCCAATCCTGAGATTTTGGCTCGCTGTTCAGTGCAAGTAAGAGATTTCTTGAATAAACCTAGGACCAGGGGTAATATATCACAGAGGATTTCATTCCGAGTACATCTTCCCTCACATGCTAATCACTAGAGATTTGTTCTGACCAAAGTTGAAAACTGCAATATAGCATATGGCTGTATTGATAGACATGGGCTTTCTACAACAACCGACTACTTTGCTAAAGTAAAGGAGGGGTATTTCCCCAAATATTCCCCAACTGGATGCGCCACCCAAATGCCCGGATAATAATGACAGTGTTTGATTATCTGCGCTGAGTTATGTGATTTTTTATGACTTTGTTTAGAACAAGGCTGTAAGGCAGCTACTGGGCCTTTCACAAAGACACTATCTGGTTCTCTTTTTTCACATAAATCACAATCCCATATATGCTTATACTATGCAATTCTACTGTGCAAGTCCGTCTGTACACTAACACAAATGTATTTCTGTAACGTTTCGTCTGACCGAAATCAGACTTCCTCAGACAAGCAGTTTACAACAATCATTGATTGTGCAGCAGGAATCTTGAATTGCATTGTACGGTCTGTTTATTCCTGCTATAGCATCCTTGCATCACACACATACGGATTCACTAGCGCAAAGGCATTGAGTGTTAGTCTCGCATAACCTCTCCTGATACCCATATATGCTTGTTGCTTATATTTTTGTTTTATTAAAATTTTATCATTTTGCCAAAAATTGAACTTTATTTAAAAATTGCTATTAGTTTTATTATCCCTTATTCAAAGCTTCTATGTGTCTTCTGTTGTTTCATTTCCTTTTCCACGGCAGTGGGACCTATTCCTAAAACATAAAAAGAATTGTTCAATACAATACAATATAAATCTAAGGTTTCTAATTAGATTTCACATTCATCATTTATATTGAGATGTGCCCTAGAGTTTTAAATAACGGGAATTTTTCATTGAATGAAACGTTTACATACTTTATTAAACAGGGCATAATGTGGTACAAACATTCAAACAGTTAAAAATAGGGATGGATATTTGGTCCCACTCGCCTATTGGGTTGTTGTATGATAAAACCCATACCAATAAAGACCTCTAATGACAGAATCAGGAAAAGTTCATTTCTGGACAATGTTAAGTTATAATATGAAATTCAAGAGTCCGGCTGCACACTAACACAAATATATTTCTGTGTCGTTTCATCTGGCCAAGGTCAGACTTCCCAGATATGCAGTTTACAACAATTGTTGTTCAGACGAAAACATCGTGCATGAGTATTCTTTTGTTGTAGTTGTGAACTGCTTGTCTGAGGAAGTCTGATTTTGGTCAGACGAAACGTTACAGAAATAAATTTGTGTTAGTGTGCAGCAGGACTCTTGAATTGCATAGTATTTTTATTCCTGCTACAGCATTCTTGCATTATACGCATACAAATCTACTAGCGTAAAGGCATTGAGAAAGGATTGGGAGTTAATCTCGCGCACCTCTACTGATAGTAATGTTAAGTTACTTTGGTTATACTGCAACGATGTGCATTTTTATCCCACCACTTTGCAGTTAGAGAGTGACTTATTTATTTACCGGCTGGCAAGTCCCACAGTCTAATCCCAACGGGATGTAGATACCACTAGGGAAGAGTTCACATTTTAAATTTGTCGCACACGGTAAACCGCAATCCGCACCACAAAACTCGCCTTGCTGTGCTGGACAAACTAGGCAGCATCTGTAATGAAAAATTTTGGAAAATAAGTGTAAGTTTCACACCAATGAAGACTAAGGCTGGCTGATATTTTATAGGCGTGATGACCTATGGCAGCAGTTCGCCCCCCTGAGGAAACCACAGCTCATTAGGACGAGGGTCACAATGCTGGGCGCAAAACTAATTTTACTATTCCCTTTACAGGAAAACCTCCTTCTAGTTTCTTTCATTGCTTGGCAAGGTTATTTTACTGGGTGCTTTCACTTCGTTGAGCATGAACTTTTTGAATCTGATGAGATTTGGTCAATGAAGAGCAATGAAAATAACACTACTGTAATGATAAACAAGGGGGCATGAGTGCTAAAAGTCTTCAGAAGGGGGCCACGACCCATAAAAGGTTGGGAACCACTGGTCTAGGGGTTAAAGTGTTAGACTTAACTGTGTTGACATCGCAGGTTAAACATCCAGGGTTCAAATCCCATCCCCACCACCTTACGGAAAGTTTAATCAATTGTGTAGGCTATGTCGAATCGAAGGGATACTTGTTCCTTCAAATATAGTAGCTAATGTCGTTGGATGCTTTTATGGTGTCTTGTTTGGGGCAAAATTTGCGTATAAGCGTTATAAAAAATTCGAAAAATTGTCGAGGTTCCAATCATTTTTAAGTAAGATAAGTAAAAAATAAGTAAGTCAAATCAACGAATCGAGATGTCTATTTAGTAACGGCAAAGGATAAACTTAACAAAAACTGCATATAATTATATTGTGTATCAGCTTTAAATCTTCTTCCAGTCGGCAATTTAAATTATATTAAATTTCATGGAATTAGTGATAAATTCTGTTTCAAAAATTTTCAATTCGATTCCGAGAATCAAAATATCGTTTTTCGCCCGTCGATAATAATTTTTGCCAATCACTAAGAAAATCCCCGTTGACCTTATGTCTTGTATTTCTGAATAACTTGGTTAGAAAGCTGACGTAATCTCCAGACACGATCGCCATCGCATTTTTCACGCATTTTGAAATATGGCTTATCGGGTGTGTAATCACTTGCGATAAAGTTTCTATGCTTTTTAGTTGGTCCACGTATTGTGTGGTGGATTCCGAATTCTTTTGTTAAAACCAGCCATCCAGGATTTTCAAACGAAGGGGGGGGGGGGGGGGGGGGGCGTTCAGTATTTCTCATTCTACGGCTTTTGAAACAGTCGCCGCGATTACTTGCTCGTTAATGCTTGTCTGACACGTTATTATCGACTTTTTTCATTCTAACAAAAATAAAAAAGGGGTGGGGGAGGGGAAACCCCCCTAATTGCGTCACTACATGTATCTGGAACGTTCAACTGGTTACCTCTCCCATACCTGACCTAAACTGGTGACTGAACTTCGGTTTACTTCTTATGATCAGCTTATTCATAACATTTTGGTTATTGTGAAATCATGAAATAAAAATAGTTTTGTAAATGGGAAACGCAAAAGTCTTTTAAAATTGAAAGTAGAGTCAGATTCATCAAAATAATTTTTCTCGTGATAGGAGACCAAATCCGTGTTTTCAAGAACAACAACACGCACGTAGACCAGGGGTTTGCAATCTTTATTACAGAAGGGCCAGATTCAAGTAATTGGTTAAAGCCGTGAGCTGCACTTTTATTTAATTGATAAATAATTTATAGTAGTTTCAGTCACAAAAAAGGCTTTTGCTACTCAGTTTTGTTAATCTGACAGTGGTACTGGGGTACTGGTATAGGTTTTGCGACGCAAAGTGATCCCCTTAAAATTGCCACTTCTCCGCGGGCCGCACAATATTTCCTTGCCGGCCGCACGGCCGACGGGCGCAGTTTGCACACCACTGACGTAGCCAATAAAAGCTCGACCCCGAGTTTTTAATTTGTCGTTTTAGCTTTGAACAACGATTTTGTCAGCAGTCACGAATAAAAAAAAATACTTACCGACAAGCAGGGTTGATGACCGGAGCCTCTCCGTTCGGGCATTCAACCGGAGGGCAGTTTTCTGGACAGTAGCATATCGGTGATATCGCCTTCGCGTAGGAAATTAAACTCGCAAAGAGAAACAAGATAGCGATCCACTTCATGTTTTAGTTGGGTTAGATATGTATTATATAAATCGCTTAAGAAGAAAATTGCATTTTTAATCATGTTCTTGTTCTTTGTCACAGAAAAAAATCGCCTTTCTTATTGATTACTGGACCAATCGCATTGAAATTTTATAGTGCTTAAAGATTAAATTTTTTGCTAGAAGACTATTACTTTTATTTATTTTAAATATTCCGGTGAGCTGTATGGAATTCGTTTTTTGTGTGTTATGACGTCATCTAAATTTTCCACCACGTGACGCTACGTTTCCATATATTTGAGTATAGCTCTCTTGTTTAGTATTGTTATCAAAACGTGCAAAACCCAAAGTGCTACTTGCGCTTACCGCAAGCTAATG